AGATTAAAAATATATGTTAATGATCATTTTTACCTTATAAGAATGATTTTTTTTTAGGATCGAATCAGTCAATTAAATGATTAACCTTTGTTTAACTTTCAATGTTGACATTCTTTTCCTTTAAATAATCAAACATGCACACAATTCATGCATTTTCCATCTCTAGCTTAGGGGTTAAATTGAAGTTCACATGAATACGGATTCAATGAGGTTGAATTATTCACTTGCAAGTGAATAATTCATCATCAATATTACCTTGCTTTTTTTGACAAAATTAGACAATACTAGCTGCTAAAAGCGAATTATTATGTCACTATTTCACTTTCATTAATGATTGAACAAAAAAAAAATCATATTTTATAATTTTTTTATATCTCGTAGCTAGTGCCCCTTTAAAGAACAATTTTTTTTAGCCATATTGTGTACAATGTACGTTTCACATCTTATAAAAAAGTTAATTCTCTGACTTTTTATTTTTGACTTTTTAGTAGAAAACAATGGTGCAGCTTTTAATAATATTTCTCCTTTAGTTGGACTGGTTTCCTGTTATTGCCTATCATTTCCTTTTCAATTCAATATTAAAATCTGGAAAATGATACAAAAAACTGACTGCATTAAAGTTTCTATTGTTGCTTCATACAGAAAAGTTTTTTTTAATGTCCTGGGCTGCAGATTAAAATGTCTTAAAGAAAAAGAAAGGTTTATAAATAACATTTAGTAAACAATCAGTTAAGTACAAATTTCAATAATGACAACATACAAAGCCCTGAGACAAAACCACACAAACAAAAGTTCAAGTGTGAAATATATTGTCCTGTCCACTGGGTTGGTTAAAACAGAAGACATTAAATAACATTTTTTATCTTATATTTTGAAAATATTTGTCTAGATTAGATCAATAGACATACAGAATGATTGGTCCATATGCTGCTGACTACAAAACTGATTTTTTAAATCAATATGCCATTGATAAACATGATAACGAAATTGAATTCTTAATAAGCTGACCATATGAACTTTTCTCTCTATGACAGACTTATCATAACATCCAGATGCCTCAATCATTTATATGAAATGAGGTGTATCTTATGAATTATCAATATTAACTTAACATATGGTCATTTTCTAATTATATCTCAATTACAAATCCACAAGGGCCTGGAGAGATTGAAATTACAAGCACAATAGAAAGTTAGGCTCTTTAGGCTACAAACTTCTATGACCATGTAATTTCTGGTTTACCACACATTATGAAATTATCAATATTATCTGCCTATTAAACCAATGCATAAGTTACATTAAGTGTGACAAGGTTGAAACTCTGAGTTGCCACTAAATAGTACAGAAAGGGTTAGTACATAAAATTAAAAAGAGTGTTTTTGTGGTAATCATTTTTTAAAGGTTTTGGTTTACAAATAACAAAACTGTTAAAAATATCATGGTTCGCCAACCTTCAATGTCATACTTATGTGAAGTTCAAAGGAACCTCAGTGGCGGATCCAGAACTTTTCATAAGGGGGGGGGGGGGGCGCTGACTGACCTAAGGGGGGCCCGCTCCAGTCATGCTTCAGTGATTCCCTATATAATCAACCAAATTTTTCACATGAAAGGGGGGCCCGGGCCCCATAGGCCCCCCCCTTGATCTGCCTATGAACCTGATTCAATTGAAAGCTGGTATTTTTAGAATTAAAATTACAAATTACAATGATAAAAAAAAAACTAGTAAGCATATATCTCAGTGGTGGATCCAGAAATTTTCATAAGGGGGCCCACTGACTGCCCAAGAGGGGCCACGCTCCAGTCCTGCTTCAGTGATTCCCTAAATAATCAACCAAATTTTTCCCACAAAAAGGGGGGGGGGGGGGTAGCACCAGGCCCCCTGCCCCCCACCTAAATCAACCTCTGAATCTCATTACATATGGACATAATATGGTAGTGAAAAAATGAACTAAAAGTTTGTAAATTACATTTGCAGAATTAATACACAAAATTTTGCACAATTTGCAACATGTTTGTACATACATTTGTATGTAGAATCGACAGTTACAAGATAAACTGACAAAAAGAGGAAAGTGATAGTGTGAAAAAAACATATGGTGTTCATTACACATGATCATTACACATCCTAATAAATTTTCTACCAAGGAATTCTATTACCTCACACATTAACTAATTTACAGTCCCCTCAAGCAAACATTTTTCAATGTTATGTCAAAGTGTAGTCACTGAGCCTCTTTTAAGTAAACAACTATTGAAAAAACATGTGATCTTCCAGTTATGAATTCCATAAATTTTACAATTAGTCCCATGAGGGACCATGTCAAAACTGACCAAACAAAATGTAATAAATTTAGTAATATAATGCATTATTTACATTCCAAGTCTGTAATAAATTATATGAACTCTAGAGACCCTTTTTATATCAATAATCATATAGGTCTGGACTAGACGAATGAATGAATGAACCATACTTTTAAAATACCTGGTTGTTTCAAGAACTAAGGTGAGCAGGTATTTAACTAGGCTTATGTACAAGGTTGATCTTGATCACCTTAGGTTTTTTAAGGTCAACTGATAAACTATACACACACAAGTTGTTTTTTTTGTAAAATTAACCCTCACGGCTTTTATCCAGTTCCATACTCAAACATGACCTATTATACAAAATGCTGAATAGACCCATGCAAAAATCATGTGAAAAATAGCTTTATTGTTATTACCATAGAAAAACTGATGTGTATAAAATCAGCTGATTTAAAAGAACTCGATCTTCCATGGTTTCTTGACAAAAAAATTATCATACATGGACCCTTTAACTAGTGAACTTTCAAACAATATGACTGTGTTCCCTATGCACATGCATCTGATCTTTTTGAAAAATAAAACTATCGCAATTTTTTAACTAATGTAATCTGTACTACATGTTTGTTTTATTTTGTTGTGACTTGATTACATTGTATGATGCTTAAGTTATTACATAGAACTCTATATTCTTCAGTCAAATGTATGTTTATGTCTATTGTTCCTGTCCAACTGTCCTTATTTTTTTTGGTGAGAAACCTTAATTCACTGGTTGGCTAAATTTAGCTACATGTATATATAGGTAGACACAAAAATCATATCATATCTGTACTTTATTTACTATATACCTGTACATTTGTATTTTTGACCTAAAAACTAGAAGGTAGATTAAATTTTACATATGAAATGAATTAACAGATGAAAAAACGCCAACTTTGATTTGTTTATTAATTTATAATCAAACTTTACAAGCTTTAAAAATGGGTACGCATCATGCAAATTACTGGGGTTTTAAAACCCATTCTAATTAAGTTCTTACCTTACTGTCTCTTTTTTTTTTAATTTGAACAATATTCATGCATGAGTAAACATGAACCATAAATTAATGGACACATGCACTTTGCACATCTGTCAAATCAATGCTTTAAAATGTTATGTCATAAAGTACATACCAACCAAGTAACTTGAATGATTTCCCTTTCAAGTGACTCATTCTGCATGTTTACATAATGTGTATTACCTTACAAAAACTTTGTGATTTAACATGTTGAATGCAATCTGGGTTTTTTTAAACACTAAAGTCTGACACACAATAACAATGTATCAACTGTATGTTTGACTGTATTATACACATACAATAAGCTGTGTATCACCAAAAAAAATATAGGAGTGATTGCACTTCCAGTTAATATACCTTTGAACTTTTTACCTGGGTTTCTATATTTTTGGTGGATTACCAATAGCAGGCCCTAGAAATACAACAAGTTCCTTATTTTAACTTGGCCTGAGTCTAGATTAATTGGTCCTGTAGAAATATCATTATCTTTTATCCTTGGAAAAATCTCCATGATTGCCTTGTTCAAAGATGAGGTTGAAGGTATTCCATGTTCCATCTGATAGTTTTGGCAAATACAATTATGAAAACTATCCTTCAGACCAATTTCAACTAATATCGGGGGTAAAAAACAAATATGGCAGTCCCTAGTAGTCCTTCACGGTTTAAAGATGTATTACCCAAATAATGAGTCAACAATTGGATGATCTCTTAAACTCCATATACGGATTGGAGGCCTACATTTTCAAACTTAACAATAGCAGTTTTTATTTAATTATCATGCTACATTAAATTACGCCTGTCCAAACCCAGGAATCAAATATCTTTTAATTTTCAAGTTATTCTTAATTTACAATGTTGTAAGAACAGTTTATCCTGAATGTGCATGAAATATTTGCAACTGGGCATTAAGAAAACAACAATCAATCATTAAATTAGAGTTCCAATAATTCTTAATTCATGAATTTGGAATTTGTTCAGGAAGAACAACAAAAAGTCAAATATGAACTAATCATCTAGAAAAAAAGTTGTATAAAAAATTATGGCCCAACATCTTGAACAAAAGTAGTGTAATTTTTTTTAAACAGTAAAACTGTTCAAGTGCACTAAAATTTAAGGCAGTCAATAAGCAGCTTTACCAATATAAAAAAAAGTATCTCTGTAGAGAGTTTGAAGTAGTTTATTAAATGTTCTCTATAGGAAGTCACATAAGATATGAATTTTGATGGATTACCTGGTGTGAGCTTCATTCATAAATAAGTTGTCATTGTGTACAATGACATTGACCTCGTTGATCTTTTCGATTACTATATGTATAGACAAAGTTTAATCAGTATTCTTTTTGCAATTACTATAGTGTGCAACATGATTTATATATTCAGACAGACGCAATGAATTAACATAATGTATTCCCAAAGCACCATCTGGTGACTCACGGAAAATGTCCGATAAACTGATTGATCAAAAATGACTTCATCGCCCGGCTACAATGACAGAAATAAGGAAAAAACATAAAATGAAAGGTTTGCACTGTATATTTTAAAGATTTGTTTTTAAGCATTAAAATGTCCCGAAAATAAAAGTAAAACAAATATTTTTAGCCGGCATCGATCCACTATACACAATCAATTATAATTTTAAATACCTTTGGTTATTTCTCCAAGAATTAAATTTTTATGATCAGCTGTAGCAGGTTCCCCGACAATTAACAGCACTGCTGTTGAAACTTGTCGCAAATTACTTCCATCAGCATCAGCTTGACTATCTGTCTCCATCATGTTTTCACACACAAATGATACCGGTCAGGATCAACCGGAAGTAAAGCAATCGGAATTCCTCTTTTTAGCCAATGAAAGAGAAAGTTCCCGATGTACTTCGAGTGGTTATAGGGGAAATCTCAAAATATGTGGAATATTTTTTTGATAAAGTTTGTCAGTTGTTATGGATTTCCCCCTTTTGAATTTTCCTCGGAATTTAGTATTTTTGTGAAACTTTTTTCATTGTATCAGAGACATACACAATCCTTGTATTATATATCTCTGATTGTATTAACATGCGCAAAATGCTTATATACCGTCATCCTCTAGCTTCAAGAAAACCGGCAATTTAACTTTTCTAGACTGTACTTTGGTGGATAGCTGCCTCATTGGCAATCACATCTCCTTATTTTTATACAGAAACAGAATATGTCTCCGACTGTACCATTCTTATTATCTTCTTAAACTACTGGATATAATGAACCTGGGAAAATCCGGGTTACAACTATCAGAGACATATAATACAATATTAATATTGTATTATATGTCTCTGCAACTATATTACATCCATTAAGGAATCACACTTTAACTTGAAGACACGGGGGAAAATCCCTCGGGAACTGGCTTTCTTTTTTTTTTTTTGGTGGAGTTCTTGTTAGTCTATAGATATCTACATTATACAAATAATGGTATTTGGTATGATTGCAAATGAGACAACTATCTACCAGAGTTCGAATGAAGTGAAAATTAGCAATTATAGGCAACCGTACGGCCATCAACAATGAGAAAAACCCATACCCTGTAGTCGGCTATAAAAGGTCCCGACATGAATAATGTGAACAATTCAAACGAGAAAACTAACGGCCTAAGTTATAACAAAATCATTTACGAAAAACAAATATGACAGACATGAAAAAACGACAACCACTGAACTACAGGCTCCTGACTTAGAACATGTACATAGATAATATGGCGGGGTTAAACATGTTAATCATGAACGCTCAACCCCACCCTAACCTGGGACAGTGGTGTAACAGCACAACATAAGAACAAACTGTACACATCAGTAGCAATTGGCTTAAATCAAAAGATCGGTACGAGGAACAAAAACAACTAACATAAAAACAATAGGCACAAAACACCGATATAAGAGTACTCGCAGTTACCGGGAGCTATAGTTTAAAGCCAATTACAATTAATAAATAATCCATGTTCTCCCAGACTAAAGTATCAATCAGAGTACATCCAACAAATTTGGTGTGAATACGTCATAAACAGTCTGACCTTGTAGAATGCCAAAATATATGTAAACAGTATGGTCCGGTATCGACGGGATATATGATAAGATAAGGTAAGACAATCATTAATTCAGACTCAAAAGGTCCATAAATATATATATGAAACAAAATATTCTGTTTAAACAGAATACAATATTAAAATATTTACAGTATCAACTATAATTAAAAAAATAAGTTTTGTGGACTATTTTTGCATTGTTCTCTTTGTCATGGTGTCGTTTGTCCTTCTAAGTACTATGATGTGTATAAAAATAAGCTTACAGCTTTAGTGGGATATAATTTATCCTTGAGTGCAAATTCATGTCAAACCAGTCAAATATAGTTAAACTTACTTTATCAGTTACGAGCGTAACCCTTCCGAAGCACCTGGGTTCAACCCTTTTAGCGGGGTTCATGTCAATCATTTTTTTTCTATCGATCTTTTTAGGGACTTGTTCGCCCTAGGGTTTTTCGTTTTTCGCCATTTCATTTCTCATTAAGTTTTTAAGGAACCTTGTTATCTGCCGCCGCATTTTTTTATTCGTGCAAAATCATTTTGATTTTTAAACTGTAGAGTGGGGTGCTCATTTTCGCCATAATTTTCCATGTTTTCTGCAGTTTATGTTCAGGTCTTTATGTTTTTGAAGTATACTGATATTTCTATATGAAGATAACATCAAAAGCAAATTATTCTTAGCTTGAAAACGTGTTTCTTTGAAAAAAAATCATCTGAAAAGTTAGATTAAAGGATATTTGAAATTTCCTGATGTTTTGTCAAAGGGGGACACATATTCGCCGTTTTACACATCTATTTAAAACCTAATAACTGCAGCTTTAAACAATATTTATCAAATCAATTTCATTATAGATGAATAGCAGACATTTCAAAGGTGTAAAAGAACTGAAATTTAGGGCAATCAGTCAAAGAATTACTAAGAAATACTTCTTTAAAATCGTGTTTTTCATTCAGGAAATTGGCCGAAAATCGTTGTCCGTTTTTCGGTCCCTTGCGGTAAGTGCCGACATTTTGTTTAAGTTTAAAAAATAATCATATTTGTTATTAAAAATATAATTTACCGGCATATTTCTTCCATTTCAGCCATCCTTTGAAGTTTTTACACCTCAAAATCATAAAACGGCGAAATTGTGTCCCCGGCGAATATGTGCGCCCCACTCTACATGCTTTGATAACTATACTGTTAAAGAGAGACGGAAGATACTCGGACAGGGATATTCATTACTCATTAGTCGATGAAATACTGAATACGGCATGGCAAAAAAAAACCGAAGAAACAACCAAAAGACAAACAACAGTATACAAAACACAACATAGAAAACTAGGCTGATACCCACAAACCTCACAATAACCGGGGTGATCTGAGGTGCTCTGCAAGGGTAAGCAAATGCTGCTCCACACGTGGTATCCGCCGTGCTGCTAATGTAAGTACAAGCTCGTGATATCAAATTCGAAGAAAAGAGAATGGGATCGTGGTTACACAATTGGAACATATCCGTCGGAATCTGTGAAACTGCAGATATTTAATAACAATTAACCAACTCGTGATGGCGTACGTACAATTTCCGAAGGGATGACTTCAACTTTACCACTTGGAATAGCCATCAATTTAACGTTGTTTGAAAGGACACTTGTGTGATAAAGGTAGCCAGTAAAGTGAAGGAAGATCTATTTTTTTCAACATTTGGGTCTTTAGAGATAAATGTAGCATGTGTATTAAGAAGATGAAGAATAATTTCCAATTACATGTAAGGACCAAAATAGCATCAACATTTGACATGACGATAACATCAATAATTCGAGATGTAAATTGGAAGAAAGCACGTGTCGATTTCACCAGTTATTATTTTTTTTTATGATTATCCTTGATATAAAAAGAAATAATGGTATACGAGTTTTTAAGAAACAGAATCGGTGAACCGCTGAGCAGATGAACAACGGACTTTCAAACTGAGGTCACCTCATATATGTTGCATGCATACCGATCTATATGAGGTCTTACAAGACAAACAAATTTATAGGCACATAAAGCTTATTTTGACAAATTGAACTACACTAACAGCTAATAGCGAATTATTATTCAATATTTGGTTCTTGTAAATGTTTGAAAAAACATATATTTTCAACTTATACTGTCAAAATTGTAGCCATTGCTACTTTAGCAACTAAGTATGTACTACTATGATTATTTCTGTCTCAATAGTGGTGCTATATAAAAATGTGGTTTTTTTTAACATAGAAATTATGCCTTATACCTGAATAAATATTTTAACATGATTTTTAACCCCATCCCACACCACCCCCCTTTTGGTACTATTTTGTCTATTGTTCAGTCTAAAATTTAGAGTCAGAGAAAACAATTAAAAATTCGTCTTTTCCAGCAAATGACACAGGAATATATCATTGGATAAAAGGGATTTGTGTCGTATACTTCATTTGTAGCCTAGTGGAATACATCAAGTAGTTTCTATATAAAGGCAAGACTATGTGGAATACATCCGGTAGTTTCTCTATAAAGGCTAACTTCAAGGCATTTGTGGTATGATAGCTTAAATCATGGAAAAAAAATACGTTGCTGTCATGAATACATATAATATTATCGACCTCTGCAGAGACCACAAGAGAGAGCTGTAAACATACATTCAAATAAATTAAAAGAGTATAATTCAAGGGGAAAAAAGTATAGCAAAGTAATATCTGAAAATTTTGATCGCATATATAACCAATTAATGTTTTTAAAAGTCTTAATGACACATAAAAAATGACAACTTAAACCGAGGAGATCCTGGAAAGCAATAAATATATCGCAAATTTTGACCAGGATGTGCAACACATTTTATTTTCTTCACTGGCCTGGCCTTTTTTCAAATTCAAATTCAAATTCATGATTCACATTCACATTCACATCCACATCCACATCCACATCCACATGCAAATGCAAATGCAAATTCAAATTCAAATTCTTTATTTTCCTAATGACATGGCCCTTTCGTGCATTACTAATTTTAACACATTATTCTCTTGTTCCACTATCATACGCGTCTTTTTCTCTCCGCTCACCCTGATTGTGTGCCAGTAGATCCGGGACAAAAACAAATGGTATAGTATGAGGATAGATGCTTCTTCAATAAGCTTGTGTATGGTGAGTTACTATTTTATTGCATACATCTTGCATATTTGTTTCATAATATCAGGCAGTTACGCCTGACGGTAAAGGGCATTACTACCCTCATACAATGGACTACAATGACCCATACAAAAAGTGTACTTTGAAAGATTCCCGCACTTTTACTTTGACATCCACTGTACGGACTTTATGGGTCTCATAAATAAAAAACCTAGAGAAAGAAATTTTGGGTTGATATTAATACGCAAACATAGTTTCCCAAATAAAATTATGTTTTTCTTGTAGAAAAATTATCGTGAATATCTAAAGATTAAATGTTACAAAATGTAGAATTTAAAAGATAATTGATTGGCTTTACAGATTTAGCAATATAATGTAACTGTTTCGAACTATATTTTATAGCGTATAGTATAATTTGGATGTAATTTTCCAATAGCAACCACAGAAGCTTATTCTTTTTGGAAACAGTAGTTACACATATTTTCCCATCACGATGAGTCTTTCAACATCATTACGTTATGAACTGAACACAGGGGGTTCAAAAGCATTTAAAGAATCACGACTAAGACAACAAGAACGAATCCAGGTATCAGTATTAAAGCCACAAGATCAATGGTAACCAGGTCCTCAAATCTCATTCACACCAAGTTGTTTCGCCCTGATTAGAAGACCTGATATCTATAGTTTGTTTGCAGCATGAATACAAAATTTGCCATTACAAAAAGTTAATGGATACTCTCATCTGTTAATTGTAAAATTTTAAACAGGGATCTGAGGACATGTGAACACATTGTCATTGATATCCAAACATTTTAGCGGAAAAAATCAGACGTTTTAGTGCCAAAGTATAGCCCATTTTAGCGCAAGATTTTTTTAACTCATGTTAGCGAAAAATGAAATATCAATGCCCATTTGAGGGACAGAAATTTATTCATAGTAGAATGATAAATTTGAATAGTATCAAGACAGCACACCATAAAAAATATCACATCCATAAAAATACAGCATTAAAAGTGGAAAAAGTTAACTCAAAATGTTGATTGTCAATTTATGTCCCATTGAACGTACATAATGGGCTCTTGATATATCCCTTGTAAAATTATGTTCATAAAATTATGGTAGGAACTGCTCCTTAACTTATCATGTCTAGATTGAGGTACAGATTCACCAATACTTCTTAATCATTTTAATATATGTTGTTGTTTGTAATTTTATTTTAGTTTCCAAAAAACTTAAATGGCTGGTTGACGTTAGAAATATCCTCTGTTTATTTCAACAACATTTGTTATCATAATTAACCAAATTGTAAATGCAGCCAACAACTTAACGTTAAGCCAGCAAAAATTTCTGTTTAGTATTGTGAGTTTACAGGTAAGTTTTCGCTAAAATGAGCAATCGAAAATACAGGTGCATGGATTAATCCAATGCTAAAATGGACTATAATGTTCCTGCTAAATTGTCCCTAGTAGTTTTAAATTTTTGCTAGTAAAATTTCATGCAACCGAACATGCTAGGTCCTCTAAATTAGCACATGGATTTGTATAGTGAGACTTACTATACAAATCTTTGATAGCATGATTAGCTGTATTAATACATCTTATCTTTATTTCCCCGCCCTTACTGGATATCTCAAAGGTTCCTGTAAATGTTTGATGTCACAGTAGAAAATGTTTGACCCCACAAAGGAAAAGTAATTGTTGTGTGACGTCAATAGATTAATTGTTGCAAATTCTCAGGTCAAGTGTCACAGATTCCCAGTGTATTGTTTTTGCCAAAAGGCAACCTGTAAGTCTAAGTAAATTTTTTCACTAGTTGTTTTCATTGTTCCGTCTGGTCCCTGGACTAGCTATGCAATAATGATCACACATTCAGGAACACCAACCATGGAAGATTTGCTTCTTGATAGTAACTGCATTTTGAGCACTTTCAAAAGTATATGTTCCTTAATTAGATTGACACCTAGTGATTGAATGGTCTTGAATGCCATGAAATAGGGTATAAAGTACATCAGAAATAGAGACAACATCCTTAATGTATAATTAAAAAAAAAACAAGGCATGAAAATGATTGCTTGATTTTTTTTGATATAAAAGGTCAGTCCTAATGGTTTTGATAATAAGTGAAACACTACTGAAGAACTAATCTGAGATTCCTCTTATTTTCTGACAATACAGACATCTTTTAGGACTTGCTGGGCCCATCTGACTTATCTCTACAACAGAACCTATGTCGTGTCAATATGAACAGTACACAGTTGTTTTTTCAGCTTGATATTCTCTTTTCTGCCATTTCATTTTACTATTCTTTCATTTCAATGTTCTTATCTGCAAAGATGACTTGGATAAAGAACTAAGATTACCGGAAAGCAATCTCGACTTCTCCTTAACCATGTTGACCAGTGCTTAGGTGTCTGCTTGAAGGTATGGACTGCACAAATGTCCCCCATGAAAGGTCTTGACTTGAAACTTGTCAAGTTGAAATCCTCAATTATATAAACTGAATAAGTTAACTTGTTATCATACCACATCTTCTTTTTTATAAATACCTAAAAATCACTTCTGAAGATTTTGAAAAGTTTGCAGATACACTGTACCAGTATGTGTTTAGTAAGAAAGGAGACATTAAATTTGTTTGGAGAGTATCATAATCTCTGCACACTTAAAAAACTCTTCCAATAGTAATGTTGGAGACTGATAACTAGCAAAAATGTGTGCCCTCAACAAACGTGACAGTCCAAATTTCTAATCCTCAAAATGGTAATGCCTTATTGCAGAATCTTTTTAACAAGTAATATTGAGAATGGAAATAGGGAATATGTCAAAGAGACAACAACCCGACAACAGCCGAAGACCACCAATGGGTCTTCAATGTATTTATTTCATTGCTCATGACATATTTGCAACTGGATGTTAAACTTAAAACATGTACTTTTACCGACAAGTAGTTAAGTTAATTTCCAATACTTACATGTGTAGTCCCCTGGTAATTTGCATTGTATTCCAGTTATTACAGGATTCAACAAAAGGAATCATTAGGTTTTATTAGACTACAGTCCCAACTTTCTCCAAATCAATGTTATATAATATTTAATTGATATTATTAGAATTCAATTTAACAGGATTCAGGTGAAGGATCTGTTCAGGAAGAGGTATGGATGTAGGAAACACACATGTAATGACTTTGCATAAAATATGACTTAGATTATGTAAACAAACCCTTTTGCTTTGTATATATTATGTTGCTTTTGTTTACATTTGTCATTTATTTTTATTGCACAAATAGATACAAAGCTTAATCCCTATGTTATCACTTTTACACAACAGTCTCAACACAAGTGGTAAGAACATGTTTGTTGAGTTTTATTTTCAAAATTTTTCTTAATTTTATATCATGTTTAAAAACTATTATATTTTGCATAGGAGCATTTGTATTATTTCTAGAAGAGTTATTAATGATTAAGCCCATGTAAACTGTCACATCAATTGGTATATGTAATGAATTCAAATAAAAGTTGTTACAGCAGAATTGTTCTGGTGGTACATGTATGTTACACTGTTGAACATTGCCTAAAATTCCAAATAAAACAGTTAAATTTCATTACACAGGTACACATAGATGCATGTCTTTTTGAAGTTCTAACTTTGAAATAAACAGTAACATGGAACACTTTTTATTAAAACTGATCATTTAATTTATCTTTTTTTATTTGTTTTTTTTATTGAAGCTTTTTTCTTTCTTTCTTTAAGCATTAGATAAAAGATACAATCACTGATAGTCATATACAGACAAAAAGTTGTGCACACTAGCTTCAGGCTAAAAGTAGAAATTCCTTATTTTGTATATACATTTTGCATAAATTTACAAACTTAATGTTAAGACATAAAAAAAAATTGACATCTACATGTAGCTCCTTTAATTTTGATATTTGTTCTAATTTTGTTAATGTCAGTTCATCCTACAAATGTATATGTTTGTACAATGTATTTACAATATTTATATAATACCCTAGTCCCTACTTGATAAAACATAAAAAAAATAATGTTAAAACAAATTTTTTTGCAAATGATTATTTGTGGCAGCAAAAGTCTATGAAAATTGCACATTTGATTTTTGCTTTGTTTTATAAAATTGTTCGTAAAAATGCAGGTATGATAATGCTAGTTTTTGACCACTTAAAATTACAAAAATCACGATGTTAAAATCTATCATGTGAAGATATCATCTTTTAGTTATTCATATGACTTTCATCTGTCCTATCCTAAGAACAATATATTAAACTTATTTCATACACATTTGTATCTGAACCTCAGTTCAGTACTTTTATAAATGATCATAAATGATTAAACTATGTCATGTATGTGTTTAAAGATTGTTATTGGAAAAACTTGCCAACTATGGTATATGTATGTTTATGATGTTACTATTGCAGCCAAAATGTAACCACTTTACAAACATCATAGCCGTTAAGTTTCCTGCACACAAATTTAATGCCCTATCCTTTCATTGCCACGATAAATGTCAACCTTTTTACATTGCTATACATCGCATTACAGTGATGGTTACATACAACCATATGAGCTAGTATACATGTATATGTTTTATATTTCATCTTATGTGACATCTGTTATCTTAATGAAGCAAAACATAAAGTAAAAAATGTTAATACATCATTGTTACACCTGACATGATTATATCCATTTTGTATTAAATTGGTCTAGATTCTGTTCAAATACTTACTGGTAGAAAAAATTACATCATTTTTCTTTTACAGACAGATGAAATGATGGCAGACAGACAAAATGTTGTCAGATTGTAAGTTTGAAATAGTTATGCCTTTATTATTACCAAATATAGTGTCAAGGATATTTACAGTTAGGCTAGGCAGAAGTTAGAGTTAAGCTTCTCTGAACTAGACTGACCCGCCCCCAAACTTATTTATAGCATTAAACACATTTTTTCTAGAGGTTATTGATGTGTAATTAAACTGGGGCGATTAACTCACAAAGTGAATAAGAGTCTGAAGGACTTTTATGTAAAGGTTGTGAGTAAGCACCCTGATTTTCACATCAATAACCTCTAGAAAAAATGTGCTTAATCCTTCTGATTCGTAAGCAAAACATTCACAATTTTTTATCAACAATTTCTTGTTCAATGGCTACCATTTACATCAAATACACAATAGACATGTGTTTACTAAGGGGTAAATCGCCATATAGACTTTCTGAAATCCATAAATTGTTCGATAAGTGCAATAGAATCTAAAATGAAATAGCACCTACAAAAAGTACCTCAAAACTTCATTTTAATGAGATATTATCCGAATTTGAAGCGTACAAATAACGGAATAATCTTCAGCTTGAAAGTTTTCATTCGTATGATGTCATGTTTTGCCATGACATTAGTTCACTAAGATCATTCATGAAATTTCTCGGAATTTAATTTTAATTTTATACATTTTCCAAGTTTTAATGCATTTTTAGCTCATCTGGCCCAAAGGGCCAAGTGAGCTTTTCTCATCACTTGGCGTCCGTCATCGTCTGTTGTCCGTCGTCCGTTAACTTTTACAAAAATCTTCTCCTCTGAAACTACATAGCCAAATTTAACCAAACTTGGCCACAATCATCATTGGGGTATCTAGTTTAAAAATTGTGTCCGGTGACCCGGCCAACCAACCAAGATGGCTGCCATGGCTAAAAATAGAACATAGGGGTAAAATGTAGATTTTTGCTTATATCTCTGACACCAAAGCATTTAGAGCAAATCTGACATGGGGTAAAATTGTTTATTAGGTCAAGATCTATCTATCTGAAATTTTCATATGAATCGGACAACCCGTTGTTGGGTTGCTGCCCCTGAATTGGTAATTTTAAGGAAATTTTGCCGTTTTTGGTTATTATCTTGAATATTATTATTGATAGAGATAAACTGTAAACAGCAATAATGTTCAGCAAAGTAAGATCTACAAATAAGTCAACTTGACCAAAATGGTCAGTTGACCTTTTAAGGAGTTATTGCCCTTTATAGTCAATTTTTAACCATTTTTCGTAAATTTTTGTTATCTTTTACAAAAATCTTCTCCTCTGAAACTACTAAGACAAATTTAACCAAACTTGTCCACAATCATCATTAGGGTATCTAGTTTAAAAAATGTGTCCGATGACCCCGCCTGCGAACCAAGATGGCCGACATGGCTAAAAAAAAAGGACATAGGGTAAAATGCAGTTTTTGGCTGATATCTCTGACACCAAAGCATTTAGAGCAGATCTGACGCAGATTTAATTGTTCATTAGGTCAAGATCTATCTGCCCTGAAATTTTCAGACCAATCAGGCAACACGTTGTTGGGTTGCTGCCCCTGAATTGGTAATTTTAAGAAAATTTTGCAGCTTTTGGTTATTATCTTGAATATTATTATAGATAGAGATAAACTGTAAACAGCAATAATGTACAGCAAAGTAAGATCTACAAATAAGTCAACATGACCAAAATTGTCAATTGACCCCTTAAGGAATTATTGCCCTTTATAGTCAATTTTTTACAATTTTTCATAAATTTTGTAAATTTTTGTAAATTTTTACAAAATATTTCCCACTGTAACTACTGGGCCAAGTTCATTATAGATAGAGATAATTGTAAGCAGCAAGAATGTTCAGTAAAGTAAGATCTACAAACACATCACCATCACCACAACACAATTTTGTTATGAATCCATCCATGTCCTTTGTTTAATATGCACATAGACAAAGGTGAGCGACACAGGCTCTTTAGAGCCTCTAGTTTATTTTTGTTATATATGCATTAAAATAGAAAAAAATTCTAATAGACCAATCTGATCCAAGTATTTATAGAGAAGCAAATCATATAAGAATTATGGCTTTATTCAAATTAGATTTTTTGTGATTATATTACTTTCTATTACTTTAAAAATTTAGAAATTATATCTTTATGTTTTATTGAATCACCATGGTACTCTCTTAAAATATGACTGTGGACATTAAATGAATTAAACAACATTCATTAAATAGTAAAAAATATGATGTTTTATTGCTTTGTCTAACATAGAATGCATGAAAATCATTTCTTTTGCAACAGAGAGAAAATAACCAATCAGAGAGCAGGATGGCATACAAATTTAGAAAAAGCTAGTTGGAATAAAAATATACAGCACCAAGATAAAAAAATCCAAGAAGAATTAAGATTAGCTGCTAAAGCATCTTTAGCTGTAAGTAAATGTATTCATCATCGATTTGATTGTATTTTGAGATGGTCCACACCTTAACACTTATGAAGTGCATCCTGTGAAATATCTGTTTTCCTTTTTCTTGAATAATAAATTTGATATAGTCTCTCCAGAGTTGTCTCTCTTAGATCAAGTTGCATTCTTTTACAGGTCAGACAAAAGGCATTACAGAACCAAATAGCAAGAGATTCAGAGCAGTATGAACAAGAACTGCACTTAAAAGGGAAGACTTTCTTCAAACAGAGAATATAAGTTCAAAGGGTCAATTATCTCAAACTGTCAGATTTTATTTTTGTTATATAATAAACCCAAGTCTTTGAAAAAATGTAAAATGCATAACATAATATGGAAGATTAAATATGTGGGTAGAAGTTTATTTGGTGTAATTATTTCAAACTGTCAGATGTTAGTTTTGTTATATGAAAAAAATATAAGAAGCATCACATAATATGGAAAATTAAGTATGTGGGTAGAAGTTTATTTGGTTAAATTATTACAAACTGACAGATTTTATTTTTTATATTTAAAAAGTTTAAAAAAAATGTAAAATGCATAACATAATATGGAAGATTAAATATGCGGGTAGAAGTTTATTTGGTATAATTATTTCAAACTGTCAGAAGTTAGTTTTGTTATATAAAAAAAACGTCTTTGAAAAAAATGTAAAATGCATAACATGATATGGAAGATTAAATACTTGGGTAGAAAAAGATACCCAGAAAACTTTATTTCACAATATAAAACAGCTACTTCAGCATTTTATTCTTTTTAACAATTTGACTTTACAAGTAGTAGCTTTAATCTTTGTTATTAAAGAAAACATTTTCATGAAATGAAACCAGCATTACCACTAGATCAAAAAGTATTATTATTGAGTGTTGTTAAGATGTATATCTTTTTATAAATACTTTAAACCTGTTGTCAAAGTATTATAACTTCATTGTTGGTCTTGTTTCAATGGAGAAAAAATATTTTTCAATGTATTAAAATGTTCCTATGATTTGTACAGCATTTACTCATAAAACAGAATATATTTTTGAATTGAATTTTTATATTTCTTATTCTTAAATTATTTATTTTTTCAAGATCTATGACGATATGTTGTACTTGTATGAATTTACCTGAATCAGCTAAAAGATATTCATTATGAAGTATAAAAATTCATATTGATGTAATAATTTTTTTATACATCTTCCAGTGCATTATTTAAATCTGTATTTCATATGTTATTGTCATATTTACTAAGATATACTAAAATCATTAGGAGGACATGATATTGTGTCATTTAGTTTACATGTTCAATAAATATGCATCGACTTTAAAAACAAATAAACTCCTCTTTTTTTTTTAAAGAAAATATAATTATTTTCCTTGAAGTCTGTGATAGTTGTTTTTCATGACAAAATATAATTATATATCACTTGTTTTTATCATTAGCATATTCATTAAAGTATAAATGATTTATAATGGTTTTGTAGTATTTATTAACTTGCCATGAAGTCATGACATATCAGATGTTTTATGATTATCCAATCAATGTTATATATATAGCCTCGTTGATTCTACTGAAGTGGATAACCTCTTAAAGTACATAAGTTTCAGTTAAAAGTTATTCTTGTTAGTGTTGAGCATTGATTTAGTTAATACGATGCTGTTTATAAAATACATTAAATCATTTATTTTTGCTATTCTGAAAAAAAAAAAAACAATATAAAAAACCTAAACAAACATATACACAAGAAGAAAATGGGAAACTAAAAGCTTATACTTTGATTTCTAATCATTTATCAAGATAGGTTGTGTAAGCTTTCCAGATTAGATTGATACCTCTGTACCTGAATTAAGAGAGATATGTGAAACCATGCGAATGTATATTGTTTTCTTGCAAGCTGTTTCATTAGATCTGTACTGTAATATCTCAATATCTAACATTTTTTTATATAGCTAGATATAGGATACAAATTGGAAAAAATTGGTTAAACTTTTATTTCAGATGTTACACCCTAGGAATATTGGAGATACTGTCTTTAGAGGAGAGAATCTATTTTGTCAACTTGATTGAAGATGAAATGAACATTCTGTTATTTCATTGCTTAATTGTCTCCCTCATAACAAGTTTTGGGGGACATAAAAATACCAGGCATACGTCTGGTCTTGTTAGGGGTCGTTATAATTCATGCCAGATTTTTATAAAACTTATATCATTGGTTTATATCAGCATGGTCTCCAACATGTTTGAAAATCAGTGCCAATCAACAATTTTTAAAAGAGCTATGCCCTTTGAAATATTGATTATATGAAAAATTGCATTGTTAGTGCTCTCGTGAACAATTCTTGTCAGAATTTTATCAAATTTATATGAAAGGTTTATATCAGCAATGTATTGGACAATTTCTAAAATCAATGCCAATCAAATATTTTTAAAAGAGTTATTGGAAATATTAATTATATCGGAAATTGCATTGCATTTGCTTTGAAGCCTTCATTTCTCCAAGATATTTATGAAAATTTAAAGAAGAAAAAAAAGAAAGTTTTTTTAGTTATTGCCCTTAGGCAGATAAAATATGTGCAAAGCAGGGACATTGGAACTCTGTTGGTCATCTTTTTCAACTATTCCATTTGAACACTAAGTAAAAAAAACCTTGTGGGCACAACTCCTCTAACACCATTTGACAGAAAGCTCTCATACTTGGTAGGATTGCTTTCCATCGTGTGAGGTTGACCATTTTATACCCTGATTTTATTTTTAATGTTTTTATGGGAGTTATAGGACTTTGACTTAAATTTGGACTATTCTATCACAATTACACTTTGTGAACACAGCTCCCTGGAGACAATTTTACAGAAAGCTCTCATACTTGGTAGGCATGTGTAGTTGACCATTTTATACTGTAATTTTGATTCCATCATTTTTAGGGATGCGAGGGACTGACCTTATTTTCAACTATTGTACCACAATTCCTTACTTTTTAGAAACACCGCATTTACCTTAAAACAAGAATGCACATGCTGAAATGTCTCGACTGCTTTACTGACCATTGATTTTATCATACCTGCCAACTTTTCAAAATCTCCATGGGGGATTATAAGCGCAAGAGGACCAACTGTTCCTCTTTTATTGTCATTAGTGTTTTTAATATACTACTATATTGTTTAAATGAGTATATATGTGCTTGAATACCCTTTTAACTCCTTTAAATGAATGTTTTGAGGTGTTCAGTTCATATAATAAAGACATTTGTACACCTTACAATTATTCCATCACCAAATATAGCTGACCTATTGCTATTAGTATTTGAAAAACAGACCAAAACACAATATCTCAATATTGACCAATGAACCATAAAAATGAGGTCAAGGTCATATGAAACCTGCCAGACTAACATGTACCCCTTACAATCATTCCATACACAACATATAGTATTTGAGAAACAGACCTAATCTCACAAGAAATAAGTGAGAAATTCACATGACAAAAAAACCTTCGACTTTTTTCAAGCAATCACTGAACCATGAAAATGATGCCAAGGACAATGGACATATGACAGACAGAAACTTCTTACTCTGAAATATAAAGCTTTATAAAAATAGTTAACACTGCCGCTGGATAGTAATCCCTATGTCTCGCATACTGCAACTTTTGCCACAGGCGAGACAATGACAAAAAAAACAGTAACAAATACAAATGCTAGAAATACACTTCATAAAGTTATCTATGTTCCTGTTTTGTACAACTCTTATACTTTTAACAGAATTTTATTCCTTATTTACAGAGGAAGGGGACGTTATCTAAGGCATATCAATTTTGTTTACTTAAAAATTATGATAATGATTAAACAAACTGAAAACAGGTAACCAATTTTGTGTTAATGCTTTTGAAAATTTTATTTATTGTCTAATTTATATACTGTCTTCCTCAAGAACAATTACTTGTTTAATACATGTATGTAAAAGTATATATTGATTTGACGAAATGATTTGTGCTAGAGTTATTTCTCTTTACATGACACAGGGACGTACTCCACTCCACAGTCATGTAAAGTGTATCAGTATGTAAGAGGGTCTGGATGGGGTTCAAATAATATAATAAAACGCGTAAAAAAAAAAAAAAATAAAGAATAATAAGATGCTAAAATGTATAGATTTACATAAAAGTGTTATCAATTATCTGCTTAAAGTTCAGATTTTGGCAATGAAACCAGAAAAAGACAAGATAGTACATCGATTCATATTGCCATACAAAAGCAGTGATAAGGTATCAATTTGATGACAGAAAAATAGACACAATTAAGATTTCATTCCAAATCCATAACTTCAAAACAGCTTTTAAAAGTGTTACTGCATCTGGAAAATTTGATATATTGACACTATTTCTGTTCATCAAAACTAATTGTTCTTTCAAGAACAAGAGAAAAGATAAAATATTTATTTATTACTTCTATGTAAATCAAATGTAATTGTCTCATATCTAGTACATACAGAATTGTGAGCAAATAGAATAAAGAATAGAGAAAAATGGCCGACTTCCCAATCTAACCCTCATGCAAGTGGTGTGAATAAAGCAATGTGAGGACACTCAGTTTGTTTTGCTTTGCAATCTAATCATTAAATCTGGGATTGTGAAATATAATAATTTGCATTTTGGTTTTTGAGAATATGATTTTTATTTGGTCTTGATAACACAACTTAAGTACATAAAGTACAATAGTTATTCCACATTTAACATGTCTTTTCCAGTGACTATTGTTAAGTTTTCTGCTTAAGTTAGTTTGATAGGAACTCTTGTGATAGAGCAATGATATTTTCTATAAAGTTGCATTGCTATCAGTACATATTAGTTTGAAGACTATTTTGAGGCCCTGCCCCTAGGTCATGGTCCAGCGATTTTGAATTAATTAGCAATGTTGCTGTCCATCAGATTGTCATTTTATGAATTTTCTGATGACAGGCTAAACATATCTCTGTGTCAATATTTTATTGCTTATATCTTTATAACACTATATAGCAATTAGAGAAAAATTGACCGATTAAAAAAATGGTCAGCACAACAAGCTCTATCTACCCTAAAACATTTAAGAACTATCTGTCCACTTGTTCTTGAGTTATTGTTGATGTTGATTTAAAACTTTTTTTGGCATTATTGGCCATTGTTTCAAAAACTGTAGGAGCTGTTCTATCAAGCTAAATATTTCAGAAAAACCTGAAGACTTCATATCCAGTAATTGCCCCTAAAATGTAAGTTTTTACCAATTTTCGCTGTTTTTGACTTATCTTTAAAACTAAAGGTGCTAGGTAAAAGGTGTTTATTGCAAAAATGATCAGCATGCCACCATCTATTAACCCTGAAAACTTTCAGAAAAATCTGTTTAGGAGCTATTTCCCTTAAAAAATACATTTTAACCAATTTTTTGTCTCGCCTTGACGGAGTCAAAAAGCGAGACATAGGTATGCTGTTTTCGGCGTTGTCAACAATGTATTAGTTTGTGATTAGGTCTAGTTCATGGTGAACCACTAGTGGTAGGTCAATGATATTTAGTAAGCAGTTATATTAGCATTGGCACATCTCATTACCATGCAGATTATTTGGCCCGACCCCTCAGTCAAGGTCTATTGACTTTGAAACTTTGCTTAGTTTACATGTATTAGTTTGTGATTAGGTCAGTTTATGGGGAACCACTAGTGGTAGGTCAATGATATTTAGTATGCAGTTGTATTATCATTGGCACATCTCATTACCATGGAGATTATTTGGCCCCACCCCCTCAGTCAAGGTCTATTGACTTTGAAACTTTTGCTTAGTTTACATGTATTAGTTTGTGATTAGGTCAGTTTATGGGGAACCACTAGTGGTAGGTCAATGATATTTGGTATGCAGTTGAATAAGCATTGGCATAACTCATTTCCATGGAGATTATTTGGCCCCACCCTCTCATTCATGGTCTATTGACTTTGAAACTTTTGCTATTTTTCATGTATTAGTTTGTGATTAGGTCAGTTTAAGGGGAACTGTTAGTGGTAGGTCAATGATAATTGGTATGCAGTTGTATAAGCATTAGCACATCTCATTTCCATGGAGAATATTTGGTCCTTACCCCTCAGTCATGGTCTATTGACTTTGAAACTTTTGCTTAGTTTACATGTATTAGTTTGTGATTAGGTCATTTTAAGATGAACCACTAATGTTAAGTCAATGATATTCGGTGTGCAAATGTATTGGCATTTGCAAGTTTCATTTCCATGGAGATTATATAACCCCATCCCCTAATTATGGTTCATTGACTTTGAAACTTTTACATAGTTTACAAGTTAATGTTTGTGTTAAGGTTTGTTTAAAGGGAACGACTTTTGAAAAGTCAATGGTATTTGGATAGCAGTTGTATTAGCATTGACACATCTCATTTCCATGGAGATTGTTTATCCCTGTACCTTCATTCATGGTTCATTGATTTTGAATATTTGCATAACTTACATGTTAAAGTATTGCTATTTTAATTTCAACATTTGCATTATCAAAATAACAAATAGGCGAGACATATCTCTGTGTTAACAGTTTATGCAGTTTAGCTGTGTTTTAGAAATTATAGGAGCTAGCTTAGAAGTTGCAAAAATGATCAGAATGTTAAAATCCATCTACAAAATTTGACTTATGTTTTGAAGAAATCGCCTCAGAAATGTTGATTTTTTGCTGTTTTTTGGCCGTTTTGGCTGTTATCTAAAATACGATAGTTCAGCTAAACATGTAAATTGCATACATGTAAACAGCAAAAAGAAAATAGATACATGATGGATTAGAAAATGTGTCATAGGGTATGACTTTCAATTATGAAGGTTGGTACCACATATCAGGAAGCTCCAGTTGGTAGTCGATGAGAAAAATGCATCAAAAATCCTTTCTTGTGCATCAATTTGAAGAATATACATATATGTGGCAAAACTGACAGATCTGAACATGTTTCACACAGTATAGATTAGCAGTTTTAAGTTTGGTACCAAATATCAAGAAGCTGATTTTTATATTATTAAAAAAAAATGTTAAAGAAAATTTCATATATTTTGTACATGTATCAATGTGAGGAACATACAGATATGCAGCATATAAAGGTAAATAATTGATGAATCTGAAAATCTGTTAAGTATCCCTGTTTACCAATATGAAGGTTGGAATCGTTGGAACCATATATCAAGAATCTCTGACAGAAATGTGTAATGGACGGACAGAGTGAAACCAGTATACCCCCATTACATTTGAGCTGGAGTCTTAAACTAGAAAGCCACCATTACTGAAAGTAGATTTATACAAGATCTAATTGGAAAATATGTAACCATATATATATTAACATTGAAAAAGGTCAATCAGAACTGACCTTGAGCAAAAAAGAAATAGTTTTTTGCGTTTATTTCAGGGTAAAAGTGACTAGCAACCATATATTTTTCATAATCAGCGCAAACTAAGCTATCTTATGACATTCTGTAAACCAAAAGTAGCTTTTTATCTCCCCTATTACAAAGAAAATACCTGAAAACCACATATTTACACAGTTCATCTTTCATATTATACTGAAAGTGACATTAAATAAACTGGAATTTGCTTACGATCTTCCTTATTTCATGTGAAAGAACATAAATTTCATGAATTAAGTGTTGAATAAGCAATCACATGACACTGGAAGTTACCCAATGTTAACTGGAAGTGGCTTATTATTTCCTTTTTTCTATTAAACTTCTACAAATTTAATATTTTTGGAAATCAGTGCCAGTTATCTTCTGAAACAGGAATTGACACTTACACAATGTAGCTAATTTTACTGTCATTTCCCTAATTTTCTTATCAACATATGTGAATTTAAAGGTGGAGTGACCTTAAATAATTCTAATTTTATGTGCATTTGTTTGAAAAAAACAAACTCATATGTAGATTGCTGGTCATGAAGCAACATTTTTGTCTGGAATGAGGATTGTCCTTGAAGACCACTAATAAAACAAAGTACAAATATTATCTATTTTTAATGATAGCATAAACAAAATAAATTAGAAATAACAGTAAAAATGGTTTAAACACATTTAACAACAAATATAGTAAGACATTATACAGGATTTCTGTTTCAAACAAAAATCATCTCTCATGACTATTATAATCAAACAATATTTCAGAAACTTGTCTTGTTTTTCCCTTCAAGTAGAAGTGCTTTGAGTGCAGCAGATTTAGTATATTACATTTTAATGGTAAAACATCACAAGAATTTCTTTACATTTGTTCAGTTTATGACGACAAATATAATTTCTGAACTACATGTAATTCATTTTATCATTAATGTTGCAGTCAGCTCAAAATTTATACTTATCAAAAGTTTAAACTATTACATAATGTCATAAATTAAATTCATGTTTTTTTAACTTATTACCTAAGAACAGTTTTTTTTCTTTTTTACCTTGAAAAAAACCCACATGAAATGGTAATAAAATCTAAGTAGACTTGCAGAACTCATACAATACTGCAATATATCTTATTGCCTAAACATGATTAGTAAGATTTTGAGTCATACATCAAAATGATAACAAGTTTAGATAACTTTATATACTCTTTTCTTCTCTTATAACAAAACATCTATTTTAGGCTCTATATAATAATGCAAATGTCTGTTAGAAAACATTATTTTGTTGTGACCTAGCAAGGTCATCTTGACCCTACAGTAAGTTAGAGGTTAATCTCATCATAGATGTATAAACCCAATGAAGATTACACTCTAAGGTGACACAATTTTTGTACCTTCTTATTAAAGGAAATCAACCCCTATTAAAAGATACATCATCTCCTTTCTTTTTATTTTAAGTTAGCTACTAAGATTCTGTATGTAAAAACTGAATATTAATTTGTATGTGTTTACAAACTGTAGAAATAAAAATAATACTGATATACCATTTTCATTCAGAGAACTATGTATCATGTACAAATAAATATCAATGTGACTGGAATAAAATCCTTTCAATCTTATGTTCTATGTAAAATGTAATGAAGAGGCGTGAGTAATGGACTTTACAATGTAATGAGAAATGAATAATGTTTTCTTTTCAATAGTAGTAGAAAATCTAACATGAAATTGAAACAATAAAAAAAATAATTCAGCATATCCAATCAGAAATCCTTAAAATCAATGAATTGTGTCAATATTTGAGAGAGAAAAAACACTGTCCAATAGCATTTGTTTACATAAAAAGATAACCTTGTTGATTTTATTACATGTATGTAAAACTTTCAAGTAATAAAAATAGAATCTAAATTCTGAACAACTACCTTGCTGACTAAATATATTTTGAAATATAATCTTACATATAATTTTGAGTATAAACTAGAAATATGCACATTGGCTAGAAATGTACAAGACATTCATGAAATGACTGGCAGTGAATTTAAATCTCTTAATATGGATGTTAACTTCATAAAACTGTTAATCATGTTAACAAAAACATTCTGTTAGCATTGCAAAATAAAATGACCATTTTCATGCATCTTCCATGAATACGACTAGATATTGTTAATGCTGCTCGATAAGAGGATTGAAAACTATTATTTTTACAAGTTACAATATAATAATTACAAATACACTTGCCTTGTGGGAGTAATGATCACAAGCAATAGACATTCTCAGGTATTAAAGACCCAAACAGAATTCCCAAGCATATACATGTAATGATTAAATGTCTTAACATTAGCATCAAACTTTATTCAATAAATAGAAGAAAAAGTTATAAGACTATGGTATTCTGATGCCGAAAGTTCAGCTCAAGGCTTATAAAAATTTCGTTAGAGCATAAATTATGAAAACTTTGAAGTTAAAAAAGCAGTTTTGTAAAAAGTAATGATTTCTATCTCAAACTAGAATGAATGAATAACAGTACATCACTATTGTACACAACTAGGAAATAGTTAAACTTTGTTCAACATAGCTAAAACAGGAATGCACAAAATTTCAAGAAATAATACACAAAGAAATAAAAACTTTGAAAAAAAGACTTTCAGTTCATAAAAACACAATGGAACACCATCTTCCTATTAAATGTACTTAATAACCAATTTTAACATAAATATGGCAAGTAAACTTAAGTTGGGTTGTTAAGTACATTTCTCTTCAACAAGCACCACTTGATCAACAATTTATTAACAACTACAGTTTGTTGTTTATAATACATTCTTTTGCACTTTTTTCATCATCTCTGTATTACAAATGTCAGGAAAAATGTACATTTGTCGCATAAACTGCACCAAATACTCCTAAACTTGTGGTAAATGTTTTAAGCATTGAGGCAATACAACGACTTAACTTTACGCTTTTGTGAATGCTGTATAATATCAATCGTGAATGCTGTCTAATATCAACACTTTAGTGAATGCTGTCTAATATCAACACTTTAGTGAATGCTGTCTAATATCAACACTTTAGCACAGTTAGAGTATAATCATCACTACATTGGTTACAACACTTCACGACAACTTGAAGCAGATCTGAAGGAATAATCCAACGTCTCAATCTTCTCTTGGATTTCTACATTTTTGCTCACTGCATTGATCCCTGGATTCTTATCTTTCTGTCTCAGAAGTTTTTTGTAAATATTTGGATTTGAAGATGAGGATTTTTTTATTTAGATCATAAGGATCTGTATCGCTTCAGTCTTGAAGTAAATTGTTTTACCCTTGTTTAAGTGAGTAAAAAACAATATCGTTGATAAAATGAACACATCCTGGGATTCATCTTAATGCCTCTAAGTCACTTTTGTACCAATTAATTAATTTTGACCACCAAGACTACACTTACTTTGCTGTAAAAACAAAATCAAAATCATAAATTAAATGATAGAACTGTTACCCTAAAGACTATCTGTTATGATTTGTATTTATGAGTACAAAAATAAGTGGCATTTAAGTAAAAGCTACCAGTTACAGATTTAGTTTACACATTTGTTTAACTTGTCATTTATAACAACCATGTATAGCCCATATTAAGACATCAGCATTTAAGTTGGCTGTGTGAGGCCTTATTAATTTTTTGATCTGATATCTTTATTCTATCTCTTACTACCAATACAAGCAAGATTTAGCTCAACGGAATCAATAGTAAAAATAAATACAAAACAGTTGGAAATTCATCCTTTCCTAGAAAAGCTTTTGATATTTTTTTTTCCAAAAATATATTAAGCCGTCGTTATTAAATTTTAAATTCTAAGTTTCATAGAAACAAGAGCTCACTTAATTTCTAGCCTGTGACTGAATTTTAGTTACTTAAATGGTTAATGAACTGTGAAATTGAGGAACGTTCAAGTGTCACTTATGAAATGTATACTCTTCATGATGGATTGAAATACAGTTTACCACATACTTAAGACTTATCATGCTTCATTTACGGGAATCTTAACCACACCACAGGAAGTGATGTCATGGCAATATGACATACACTTGATTTATTATTGTGAAGGTTGATTTTTGGTTTACCAGACATTTCTAAACAATCTTGTGACAATTTTTCCTGAACTTGATGTAAAAACCTACTCTCCTGCTTAAAAAATATATATTTTTTTCCTCAAAGGTCCAATGTACAACATAATAATTCAGTTGTTGTCCATGGTTGCTGTCTGTCACATTGGATTATTTGTTAATTGTTTTGTCATAAGGCAAGCCATTGGTAGTCTCCTTTAAATTGTTTCACATTTCGTCAAATAAGAGTATTTTTTTTATATCAGACAGTGTTGGTTTTCTCAGTTTTGAAGGTCGTACTGTGACCTATAGTTGCTGACATCCACATCATTTCAACCTTGGTGGATAGTTCAAAGTTGTCTCATTGGCAACCATACCACATCTACTTTCCAAGAGAACAGATTAATATAAGCTATATACAGCTTGTTCCTGAATCCTTCTATTATACTTTATCTTTGTATGATGATAAATAAATATGCTTTAACTGATCACATCTACTAATCTCTATATAGACAACAACTTGTCATATTGACATGTTTAACCCAGCCTCATTCTGTATGTGCCTGTCCCAAGTCAGGAGCCTGCAATTTAGTGGTTGTTGTTTAACCCCGCCAAATTCTATATGTGCCAGTCCCAAGTCAGGAATCTTTAATTCAGGGGTAGTTGTTAGTGGCTGTATATCATATTTGGTTTTTGTTAATTATTTTGTACATAAATCAGGCCGTATGTTTTCTTGTTTGAATTGTTTTACATTTGTCATTTTACAGCCTTTGATAACTTACTATGTGGTAGGGGTTTTGCTCATTGTTGAAGGCCGTACAGTAATCTATAGTTGCTAACTTCTATGTCTTTTGGTCTCTGGTGGAGAATTGTCTCATTGCCAATCAAACCACATCTTCTTTTTCTTATATTTAAACTTACGTAGTTTGTCTGGAGTTGTTTCCCTTTCTCAAAATATTCACACCAATCGTCAAATTTAGCCCTGTAAATTTTTTTAAAATTATCCTCTGCAAGAAAATGAAAATATTACAGTAGATTGTATTAAAGTATTGTACTTCAACATATCTGAAATTGTTACAAGTATTAATCAGAGTTATCTACCTTGCCAATATGATATGTAGTATGAAGGACCAAATTTACAAGACAAATCTCACATCTTTTAAATGTGACTGATTTTGGTATTTTGAAATAATATAACAATAACTGATATATATATTCATGTAGATGATATCCATTTCCATGAAGTCTTCTGTATAGACAAAAAGGCAACCATAAGGTCTCCTCAAGGGAACATTGTCTCCATATTTTAAACAAGCCAAGTGTTTGGTTTCCACAACAAAAAATAAAATATTTTTCTGAATCATCTTCATATTTTTTCTTTGAAATCTAGTGTGAATCTGAAATTCATCTCAGGACTATAACATGAGTAATTGGTCCAGATACCAACCCATGAAGAATATAACAGGACTCTATTCAAACTCAAAACAGTAGTGATCTTTTAATGCCACTCATTACCTTTAAAGAATTCTCCCATAAATCATGAAATAAACAAGAGTGCACACGCTGAAATGTCTCGCCTTCTTTACTAATCATTGATATTATGTTGATAGTCCTAAATATAAAGCTTTATTACAACTGTCACATAAACTTAACATTAACCAAGTAAACTAAACATTGACCAATGAACCATGAAAATGAGGTCAAGGTCAGATGAACCATGCTAGGCAGGCATGTACAGCTAACAATTCTTCCATACAACAAATATAGTTGACCTATTGCTTATAGGAAAGAAGAGCTATTCAAAAAGTCCTTAAAGGCAAAATTTAAACTACAAAAATCCATGTCAGCTTGTAATCCAAGTATTGATACTGCAATCCATTTATATGATCACACAATAAAACCAATTTTATTATATTGTAGTGAAATCTGGGGTACCTTTAAGATTAACTCTGCTGCTTGCAAGAAAAAAAGTGATTATCTATTTGAATTAATTTACATAAATGATTATTTGGAAAAATCACATTTCAGGTATCTAAAATATATTCTTGGTGTAAATAAAAAAGCCTCAAATTTGGCAGTGTTATCAGAGGTTGCAAGATTTCCTCTTTATTTTTCTGTCATTATATCTATGGTAAAATATGTACACAGGCTTAACAAATTGGACGATGGGTTACTTTATGATGCTTATGTTTGTAATAAAATTTTAGATGCAGGAAACATTAATTGTTGGTATTCATCTATGAGATATGTCCTTCAATCACTTGATATACAAAATTTGAATACAAAGCTCAATAGATTAATTAAATTTGTAAAATGTAAACTTTGTAACAGTTTTAAAACATTTTGGGGGGTCAAAAGATCTGATACCTTATCACAAGGTAATAGTAAATTAGAAAATTATTTCAACCTCAAGACTGACTTCGTAAAGGAGGCTTATTTATCAATTAAAGATTTTAATATAAGAAGAGCTATATGTAAATTGAGAATAAGTGCACATGATCTTAAAATTGAGAAAGATAGGTATAGTAAAAAATACATAGAGAGAAGTCAGCGTCTATGTCATCACTGCCTATCACATGAATCAAATTCTATTGAAGATGAGACCCATTTCACAGTAAGTTGTCCTTTATATAACGAACAGAGAAAATTATTATGGGATAAAGTAAACAGTTTTTGTAATAATTTTAAAGAATTACCCAAGGATAAAAAATATTTCTGGCTGTTCACAAATGAGCATTTACCAACTCTTATGTGCCTAGGCAATTATATAATTAAGTGTTTAGAAATAAGATCCAGGTGGATACAAAATATATAAAATTATTATGCAATTATTGTTAATGTTATGTAAGACACATGATGTGTTAGGCTCTGATCCTGTCTAATATATGATAGTATTATATTAGGATATAGTTTTTCTTTTTTCCAATCATATTGTGCTTAATATTGTTGTAAATGATGCCCTTTATGGGTTCTTGATTAGATTAATAAAATTCTTATCTTATCTTATAGTTTAAGAAAAACAGACCAAAACACAAAAACTTAACACTGAGCAATGAACCTTGAAAATGAGATCAAGGTCAAATAAAACCTGCGTGAATGACATATAGATCATAAAATATTTCCATTCACCAAATATATTTGAACTATTGCATAAAGTATTAGAAAAAATGACCAAAACTCAAAAACTTAACTTTGACCACTGAACCATGAAAATGAGGTCAATGTCAGATGACACCTGCCAGCTAGACATGTTCACCTTACAATCATTCCATACACCAAATATAGTAGACCTATTGCATACAGTATAAAAAAAACAGACCAAAACACAAAAACTTCACTATAACCACTGAACCATGAAAATGAGGTCAAGGTCAGATGACACCTGCCAGTTGGACATGTACACCTTACAGTCCTTCCATACACCAAATATACTAGACCTATTGCTTATAGTATCTGAGATATGGACTTGACCACCAAAACTTAACCTTGTTCACTGATCCATGAAATGAGGTCGAGGTCAAGTGAAAACTGTCTGACGGGAATGAGGACCTTGCAAGGTATGCACATACCAAATATAGTTATCCTATTACACGTACTTATAATAACAGAGAATTTAACATTACAAAAAATATTAACTTTTTTTTCAAGTAGTCACTGAACCATGAAAATGAGGTCAAGGACATTGGACATGTGACTGACGGAAACTTCGTAACATGAGGCATCCATATACAAAGTATGAAGCATCCAGGTCTTCCACCTTCTAAAATATAAAGCTTTTAAGAAGTTAGCTAACGCCGCCGCCGCCGGATCACTATCCCTATGTCGAGCTTTCTGCGACAAAAGTCACAGGCTCGACAAAAATGAATTTTAGCATTTCACATAAGGTAAACAAAAATCTTAATTTCTACTAATGTAAATTGAATAGAAAAGGGAAGTAACTAGGATCCCCTGCCATATAAGATTTAATAAATATTTGTGGCAGCAGGAAGATGTTTTGAGATTCAAATTACATGTTAAGAAATTCTCTTGTAAATTAACATTATAGTATATTAGCATAAAGTAATATCCTTACCAGTGACAATTTCCACTTTATATTTGGCTGCAATTAATAATGGATTTTCTACATCATAGGCTTGATAAGTGCCTTCATCATTTAAAGTCAAATTAGAAATAACTAAAGAATTTTTACTATCTACAAAACGAAGTTCATCTAGCTTTATTTTTTCATAAGTATTGTTGTCTTTTCTTCTCTTTTTCCATATAATATTTTTCCCAAATCCACATATGTTTTTATTTATAAGTGGCATTTTTAATGTACCATATTCCACTTTTGTTACATTTTTTCCACCTTTATCTGAAAATAAAAAAAAAAAAAATATTTGTAAGACAAAAAAAATCAAAGGAGTTGGTTGGTTCACTAACTCATAATTTTGGCCCTAAATATCTGAAAACTTGTAACTGTAATAATGTTGTGAACATTTGATTAATATATATGTAATAATGGCCTATTTTTTCAGTTAAAAAAAAATTTCACCAATTTCGTCATTAGGCATCATAAATGTTGATGAATTTTGTAATAACCAAATTTTTTGCCATATTTGACGCCACCCATCACCAACAATTTTTTTTGCTGAAATATTCTTTATATACCTTATTCTTTAATTCCAACCAAAATTAAAAAGATGCGAGGGGTGGCACCACATATAAAATAATGAAAAATTAGATTTGAGTCAAGCCCTAACAGAATTTGTTTTTTTACACACATATAAAAATATTGTGGCATAAATGTCTTTTTGGGTGTAGCTGTGGCTCACATCTAAATACTAATGACAAGGTCTCAAAATAAAGCTATTCTTGCAGAATTTCATTAAACACAAGGTCTCAAAATAAAGCTATTCGTGCAGAATTTCCTTAAACGCAAACAGTTTGAAGTTCTAAAGGATATATGTATGGTGAAATTCCAAAATATGAATACTGATATCTGACAAACCATTGCCTTAAGAATATCTGGAGGATGTTATTAGATAGAACACTTTCTGATTGTCTATTTCATGGGACCTAAATAGAGGTCTTATCATACCTTCTCCATTAATGTCTTCCACTACAAAGCTGGGAAGCTGGGAAGTAATAGCTTATCAACATTCTTTAAGAACCAATAAAACAAAATTGAATGTTCAGTGCAGTATAATTTTTCAATTGATTGTTAAATGCTGAGCATGAGAGAAATAAAATCATGTTCATTTAAAAAATTAAAGTGACACTACCCAAATTCAACTTGATCTGTATTTTATCAGTGGAAGTCAAAATTAAACATTGCATTGTATAAAGCATTGATTGTAGTTGATTCAACTATAATCATGGACAAAGGAAGATAACTCCAATTTTAAAAATTACTTGATATTTAGAAGAAAATAAAAATTTTGCAATTTTTCCATTTCTAAAGGGGCATTACTCTAGAATGATTAAATTGACGCCACCAAAATTCAAACTTGATCTGTTTTGTGGTAATAAGCATTGTGTATAAGTTTCATAACATTTGGTTGAGGCAAACTAAAATAAGAGAACGGAAACGAAAAATTCAGCAATTTTTCCATTTGCAAAGGGAAATAACTCTAGAACGGTAAAAGTGACGCCACCAAAATTCAAACTTGATCTGTATTTTGTGGTAATAAGCATTGTGTATAAGTTTCATAATATTTGGTTGAGGCAAACTAAAGTTAGAGAACGGAAACGAAAAATTCAGCAATTTTTCAATTTGTAAAGGGGCATCACTCTAGAACGGTAAAAGTGACGCCACCAAAATTCAAAATTGATCTGTGTTTTGTGGTAATAAGCATTGTGTATAAGTTTCATAACATTTGGTTGAGGCAAACTAAAGTTAAGAACGGAAACGATAAATTCAGCAATTTTCCATTTGTAAAGGGGCATAACTCTAGAACGGTAAAAGTGACGCCACCAAAATTCAAATTTGATCTGTGTTTTGTAGTTATAAGCATTGTGTATAAGTTCATAACATTTGGTTGAGGCTAACTAAAGTTACAGAACGGAAACGATAAATTCAGCAATTTTCCATTTGTAAAGGGGCATAACTCTAGAACGGTAAAAGTGACGCCACCAAAATTCAAACTTGATCTGTGTTTTGTGGTAATAAGCATTGTGTATAAGTTTCATGACATTTGGTAGAGGCAAACTAAAGTTAGAGAACGGAAACCAAATTTGGGACGTACGTACGTACAGACGGACAAGGGTAAAACTTAATGCCCCCTCCGCTACAGCGGGGGCATAAAAATAGGTGAAAACCTGAGTTTTTAACTTACAGATGAACTCATTTCCATGTTCTGACGATGATGGATCAAAATTATCAAAGTTCCAGTAGTTTTCAGATGACCTGCAAAACAAACAAAAACTTTCATTTCAAAGATCTTATTCCACCTGTGATGACACAAAAACAAATGTCCTTAAAATTCATTAACTATAAATGTAAACTCAGAACATAATTTTTGTTAAAAAGTAAATATAGTAAATGTAACCTATAAATAAATGTCAATATTTGAATATATGATCTGTAATTTGTACTTTTGAATGGATTTATCACAATGCAACAAAGCATTAACATCCTTATGAAAACTGAATAATCTTTTCTTTATCTTACTGAATTTATTGTATATCTGATATAAAAATAAGAAAATGTGGTATAATTTGTGAATGAGACAACTCTCCACCAGAGACCAAATGACATAGAAGTTAACAACTATAGGTCAACGTACGACCTTCAACAATGAGCAAAACCCATACTGCATAGTCAGCTATAAAAGGCCTCAAAATGACAAATGTAAAACAATTCAAAAGAGAAAACTAATGGCCTGATTTATGTGCAAATTAATGAATGAAAAACAAATATGATAAACAGCAACAAATGACAAGCACTGTATATTTTCTAGATATTGATCTAACCTATAGCAGATGTCATTTTATGTTACATTTATATCATGAAAGACTAAATGCTATTTGATTTTCTTGAGTACTATTAACATTCAGTTACTTTAGAATCTACTACAACCTTTTACAAACAATGCAATAATTTTAATGTACATAAAAGTCAGTTTCCTCATACATGTACCGTAATCACAAAGCAAATCAAAGCGCGAAAGCGCTGTAAAGGCAGTTAATTACAGGTTGTGTGTATTTTTAGTCCAGTTATATCATTATCTTCCATAGTACATTGTACTTATCAGAGGTGGCTTTCAGTATTTAAGATTTAGAGTTCTCTGATGATATTGAACAAGTTTTATGAATGTCATATTCTGAGCACTATATGAAGGCGATTGTTCTCACTTGTTTATGAACTAGTGCATTATGTCCAGTTTGTACCTTTTTTATCTATGTTTATAGTCAAATACTGTTTAAAATAGTTTGGCATTTTCTTTTAAGTAATAAGTAAATGTTATCAACTGTATTTTATTCAACTTTGCAAATGTGGTTTGTTACTGGTAAGTACAATGTATGGATGATAGCTGTTTCATTGGCAATCATAACACATCTCCTTATTTATATAATGATCTATATTCAACGACCTCAGGTACAAAAAAAATGTATGTAACTAAACTATGATGGGAAACCTTTGACTTCTTTCTTTAATATAAACTTTTGATTTGGTACCATAGAACTATGTAGAATAAATGTACATTGCAACATGTCAACTCTTTCAATGACAATACTTTTTTTAGAAACTATAACTCCAAGCAAAATTATATTTCCAAGTATAAAGTAATTTATGAATGAAACAAGAGTGCACACGCTGAAATGTCTCGCCTTCTTTACTAATCATTGATATTATGTTGATAGTCCTAAATATAAAGCTTTATTACAACTGTCACATAAACTTAACATTAACCAAGTAAACTAAACATTGACCAATGAACCAAGAAAATGAGGTCAAGGTCAGATGAACCATGCTAGGCAGGCATGTACAGCTAACAATTCTTCCATACAACAAATATAGTTGACCTATTGCTTATAGTTTAAGAAAAACAGACCAAAACACAAAAACTTAAAACTGAGCAATGAACCTTGAAAATGAGGTCAAGGTAAAAAAAAAACCTGCGTGACTGACATATAGATCATAAAATATTTCCATACACCAAATATAGTTGAACTATTGCATATAGTATTAGAAAAAAAGACAAAACTCAAAACTTAACTTTGACCACTGAACCGTGAAAATGAGGTCAAGGTCAGGTGACACCTGCCAGCTAGACATGTACACCTTACAATCATTCCATACACCAAATATAGTAGACCTATTGCATACAGTATAAGAAAAACAGACCAAAACACAAAAACTTAACTATAACCACTGAACCATGAAAATGAGGTCAAGATCAGATGACACCTGCCAGTTGGACATGTACACCTTACAGTCCTTCCATACATCGAATATACTAGACCTATTGCTTATAGTATCTGAGATATGGACTTGACCACCAAAACTTAACCTTGTTCACTGATCCATGAAATGAGGTCGAGGTCAAGTGAAAACTGTCTGACGGGCATGAGGACCTTGCAAGGTATGCACATACCAAATATAGTTATCCTATTACTTATAATAAGAGAGAATTCAACATTACAAAAAATCTTAACTTTTTTTTCAAGTAGTCACTGAACCATGAAAATGAGGTCAAAGACATTGGACATGTGACTGACGGAAACTTCGTCACATGAGGCATCCATATACTAAGTATGAAGCATCCAGACCTTCCACCTTCTAAAATATAAAGCTTTTAAGAAGTTAGCTAACGCCGCCGCCGGATCACTATCCCTATGTCGAGCTTTCTGCGACAAAAGTCGCAGGCTCGACAAAAAGGAGTTCTTAATTAAGTAATAAACTGATTCGCTGAGCGCAGCTGGATACACCCACAGAGGTCCAACCCTGAACAGTTGGGGCAAAAATGGACACAATATTCAAGCTTGATACAGGTCTGAATTTGGATTGTAATTAAATATTTGACATATTATAGTTTCTGAATAAATGTAGTCAAAGAACTTGAAATCGGTTATATGAATTGAATTTATATTCAATTAAAGATTTCTTGCTGTTGTGCAATACACTGTGCTGTTGCGCAATACTTAATAAATCTGTTGCCAGACTATAAACAAATAAAGTTCAATTTCTTCTCAATGTCATATTTGAAATTTATGAAAATCAATAGGGAGATTACATCTATAGCTATAAATAATTCACCAAAGTTTCATGCGAACTGCTTAAAGCATTTTTGAGTTGTTGTCCAAAAACTGGAAAATCCCCCCCTTTTTAATGAATAAAACCCCATAACTCAGAAATGTAAAATCTAAAATTTATAAAATTCTAAAGGGAGCTTACGGATTGATAATTTAGTCTTAGATGCAAGATTTTTTTATCAGTTGTTTGTGGCTTTGAACTAGCTGTCAGTAAATGCGAGTACTCTCAGATCTGTACTTAAGTGTCTTTTTGTTGTTTGGATGTACAACTACCCGGCCACGTCCACTTGTATTTGTATTTATCCATCTGATGAGTTAAGCCTCTTTCAACTGATTTTTATAGTTCGCTCTTATATTGTACTGTTACACCACTGTCCCAGGTTAGGGGGTGGGTTGGGATCCCGCGAACATGTTTAACCCCGCCACATTCTGTATGTACATGTATGGGCCTGTCCCAAGTCAGGAGCCTGTAATTCAGTGGTTGTCGTTTGTTTATGTGTTGCATATTTGTTATTTGTCATTTTTTGTACATAAATTAGGCCGTTAGTTTTCTTGTTTGAATTGTTTTACATTGTCATTTCGGGGCCTTTTATAGCTCACTGTGCGGTATGTGCTTTGCTCATTGTTGAAGGCCGTACTGTGACCTATAGCTGTTAATTTCTGTGTCATTTGGTCTCTTGTGGAGAGTTGTCTCATTGGCAATCATACCACATCTTCTTTGTTATATTTACATCAACAGATATAAACAATTCACCAAAGTCAAGGTGAGACAACAAAACTTAGTTGTAAGACCTCTGAAATTTTTTACACGGTACAAGTTTTTCTAATTGTTGGAGATTGTATGGTGACAGTAACACCTGTAACTGCTTAACCCATTTCTTATGCACTTTGATTCGATAAACTCACTGAATATCATACCACATCTCCTTATTTTTATATGCATTACAATTTACATGTGCATGTAATTGTAAATAATATTTATATATATATATCAGAACAAACTTCATTGCATCACTTTTATTTATGCATCCTTTGGCACAATACAAGTTCTAAAATTACACAACATAAAACAACTAAATGTTATTTCAGATGAAAGTTTTGTTTCAGTTCCATTCATAGGATTTATTAGAATTTTGTATGTTTTGCCAAGTCCAATAATTAGCTCTATGTGCACGTGTTAATTGGAGACTTTTCTATCCCGTATAAGAGTTTTGGAACTAATTCTGTTTCTTTTTTTGAAAAAAGTGAGCAAACAAATCTTGCACATTTAAACCTTTGTCTGCCATCACACTGTCACCTGGATCACATAATTGAACTATTCTACATCTTTCAACTATTTCACAGTCACTGGTACAACCAACATATGCATTAGAGACATAGTTGACTAAACCACCAGGTGTCGAACATACAAGTATTTTCAGTGTTTCTGTTTTTATATGATGAAAAGGTTGCCTGAGCTCTAGAAGCTTTAGGTTTTATCACGGGATATTCTGTGCTGTCAATAATAATCCAAGTTGTAGGAAACTTTAATTCTAAGTTGGATGGCGAAAAATACCTGACTAAACCACTAAATGGCCAAGTGTTAGCCTCACGCCACTGTTTAGACATAAAAACAATCCATGTTTACACAATATTCATAACACTAGTTTCAATCTAGAATCTAGACAGTTCAAAGTTGGTTGTATAATGCATCAATTTCATCAAAGTCATAAAAAAACTGATTTTCAAATGACACCCTATCAATTTGAAAATATATGTATCTCAAACAATGTGCTGTTGGACCAAGTGTGGTCAAAACAAATAAAAATTTAGTATACAACTCTAAACCGGTATAAAAATGCATGGCTGTGTCATGTGTCTTCATTATAAAATTCTCTGCTGAAAATATAGGCATTGATGGTGTTTGCGTAATTCCATCTGTGAAGCTCAACATTAGCTCGGCAGTTGGTGGTGGACAGTCATAAATCCTGTCTGCAGTATGAATTACTTCTTCAGGAAAACCAACTTTACAATCAAAACTTTCCTCTAGATTTCTACTACAATATTCATCAAGTTTAGTTCTTTTGTTTTCACAGGAAACTGCCCTGATTTTTCTTTAGGCTGGGATTGGCAGTAGACTTAAGTCTCTGTATGGTGGGTTTGTGCCCTGAAAAAGGTTATAAAACATTAGTTTTTTGATAATTAAATGAACTTCCATTAGCAATGCATACTTTGTACAGAAGCAAGTTAACTCGTACCATTGTAAACTCGTACCACGTAAAATTGTACCAACGTAAACTCGTACCACTGGGAAGTCGTACCAATCAGAACTCGTACCACTGCAAACTCGTACCATTAAAAATATATTCAAAAATACGAAAGTTTTATGATTTTTTTTTTGGTAAACTAAATAAAAAAAGTTGAATTACTTGAATTTTATACTAGATTTTAATGAAAACTTAGACAAAAATACGAATGTTTTATGATTATTTTTTTTTAAGCTTTATACAAAAAAATTAAAATATCTTTGAAATTTATACCAGATTTTAATGAAAACTTAGACAAAAATACAAATGTAATTTCTTAATTACCATGCTAATAAATATATTAAATTCCTTTGATTGTGTGATTATTGGTTGATTATTAACTAATCAACTTGTTTTTTTTTATCTTTAACTAATCAACTTGTATAATCATATAAGCATGGTCATATTCTGCTGAAATGTGCTGAATATTGTATAAAAATAAATTTCATACTTTCTAACTGTTGGTCATAAACAATTTTAAACCTTTAAAACACAATCAATAAATTCTTTCATTAAATAAAATTCCTTTTAGAAACAATAGAAAAATACCAGTGATCTGGAAGGATTTTTTCTCTATGGGCCCAGGGCCCCCCAAAAATAAATTCAATGAGCCATTTTTAGAATTAATGGGCCATGCTGTCAAATGAGTGGGCCATTCGTTTACAATAAAAAAAAATAAAAATAAAAAAAGTGTATATTTCACTGTACTTACAAGTATGATTCTAATTAATATCATGGATATTGTTCCTGTGATTTTGTAATTTCAATTTCAATGAATATACAATAACTTCTTCCAAACCGGGCAATATTTACGATAACCTTTATTTACAATGTTAAAACTTGTACTGTTCCCTTGTTCATGTTTATGTTTTTTTTTACATTAAATTTGGGTCTTCGTCGATACCATACTTATTCCAGACGTTCCGTATTAGAGGACGTTTCTGGCATTTCCTCTGCACTTGTATTATTATTTCTTCACCACGATGACAAGAATAACAGTAGAGAGCAACGTTAATTGATAAGACACAACAACAATTCGCTGAAGACATGTTTACAAAATGTCAAATCGAGCCAAAGACCAAAACAATTGACAAGGACAGTTAAGTCCCTTTTATTGAGACAAATACTATGCTATTCATAAAAAGGCTTTTGGATTTTTCAATCGAAATAATAGCAAGCTTACTTAAAAGTTTACAATTAGGTACTAGCCAATTTTCACAAATTTAAAGTTGTTTATAAAAAATTTATATCATGAATGATGGTTAATTACATTTTTTGGGTTATCAGTCATACCGCATGTTGCATTCGTCACAACTCGGCCGATTCCGTACATTCATCTAACGGATAGAAGGAGAGTATTGCCGATTGCCGCATGTTGCTATTATTACCATAGGAAAACACCCGAGACGTCCCAAAAATATATAGGTGCTCCTATCATTGGAGTAAACACTACACAGTTGTGTACTCACACATGGCGGCACGAAATACGATCGGAAATCCATTTGACGATATCTCAACGTTTCAAAACGAAGTGAAAAATATCATGCGCCACGCGGGCTCTTACATTTGTCACTCTATGCGCCATTTCTGGTCGATAAGCGCAATTGGCGCAAGGCGCACGTCCTTCCCGATCACTGAAATACCCAAATCTATTCAATGTTACTAATTTGGAATGATTAAAAATTAAATCAAATAGTTGTCAGTAAAAGTTTAAAAAAGAGTCTATTCAAGGGAGACAACAAAGCCAATCTGCCACGGTTTTCTCTATCCAATTAGACAAGGAAAATTAGCTACAAATTGGTTATTGTAATTTCAAATTATATACATTTTACAGACTTAAGAGGTATTGAGTGAAATTAAAGTATATATTCATCATTAAACACCATTTGAATGCATTTAAATAAGTTGGTACGAGTTTACAATGGTATGAATTTACCGTGGTACGAGTTAGCAGTGGTACGAGTTTGCATTGGAATGAGTTTTTGTTTAGTGGTACGAGTTGACATTGGTACGAGTTACAATGGTACGAGATAACTATAATTCCTTTGTACTCGTAACCTGGCAAAATATTAACTAGATTTATTCATTACAATCTGTATAAAACTATGTTAGCCTGATTCAATGTACATCAAAATGTATGTTATGTTAATCCAAAGGACAAACAATGAGAGATGTATGCAACAAACATACATTGTTTGTACCTAAATAACTATAATATAGATGAGAGCATGTCATTGTTTTGTTCCTGTTAACATTGTCATTGATATTTTTCAAGAAAGTCTATGAGGCATAGCTTATGCATTCCTGTCATTACTACATAAGCATAATTACTGCTAAAATAATTCTCAGTATGATATACCTCTTGTAAGAAATCATTATAATTGTAGCAAGCACCAAAAAATCTCAAACAGATCACATTGAATCGTAATCCAAAAAATTATGACGTCTTGAATTAACCACCCCCTTTTATTCTAAAACGATAATTGCGGTTGCAAACTGACTTTGGTTTATTCGCATGGCGATTACATATATAACTATATATTTTAAAAAGAAAATACAGTTTTACCATGAATAGTTTCCTGCACGTAGTCTTTTTCAGTAAAATGTGCCTTGCAAACAACAGCTGATTGAGATGGACTCCACGATTTCATCGTGTTCTCGTCCAATCTGCGTATGGGCCATGGCGTTGATCCAACTTTTCCTTCTTTTTAAGTCATTTGGAAATGCATGTCCTCCTCTTAAATGACATCCAGGTACACAACAACAAGTACTTGGCATCGTTAATTAAAAATGCAACTGTAATAGTTGCACAGTGCAGAAACCGGAAGTTGAAGTACATGATCGGCTACCACGGCGCCACCTATTCAGGAACGATAATTTGCTACTTTATATAACTGCGAAATAACAAGAACGTTAGACGGGTTCACATGCATAAACAGAAATGCGCTTTAAAATTGTATAATATAATTAATGTTCAGTCGACTCTTAATTATTATATCAACGACTGAAATGATTTATAAACATCTAGATTGCAGATAACACTCGAAATTAACCCGAGCTCTTTCCACACGGAATTCAAATAATTCTAGTTTGTCAATCGGTTGACTGCTTATAATGCAAAATACAAATATATCAAAAGTTTTTAAAACTAACAAAACACAATGATCGTTTCTCTATTTCCCAATGTAAATGAAATGAGACAAAAAACATTTTATACCACAATAAGAAGAGGAGAGAATCAACATTTTCCGGATCTACTTGGAGCTAAATGACCCCCCACGTAGATAAGTTGAATATCGCGGAAAGAAATATTAACACGGCAACTAGAAAGGCATTAAAGCACTGCCTTTAAAAATTGCCTGTATATAGAAGACTATCTTACTTCAGTTCATAATGTACACATTTTTCAGTGTTTTTGTCCCAGACACAGTAAGGATCATATATACACGAGTCTACACATTGATGGTTCCCACAGTCATTCTGGACATTAATCTGTGTTACTTTATGGTCTGTTCCAAGGTAGACATACTTGTCCTGCAAACAAATTCAATAATTAAAATCCTGTGTTTGTCATTTCATCAGTTTAGTTGTCTACTAATAATAAAATTATTTTCAATAGAACAAATAAAATTTATCTATAAATTATCCTATCAGATTGAATAACATTATATTTTGTGATAGGACTCTCAAGAATAATCCATTGCAGTAAGATTACTGTGTTTCTGAAGAAGCTTTGAGCTTTCAGATGGCAGATCACTTTTTCAAGTTGCAGTCTGAAATCATTCCTTCAAACTAATCAACTGGTGAATTTGTTTAGCCCAATCAAAGTTAAGGCTGTAATTGGTGAAAAGAAGACTCACCAAAAAATCAAACAGCTTATTGTCAGGCGTCAAAGTATTAAAAAGAAAGTTTGACTTTGATGTGAAAATTTCAACTATAATTACAATTTATCATAAATTTGATTGAAGCATAGTTTCAATTGCAATCCTACATGTTATACATGTACGATCTAAAAAGAAAGTTCAATTATGTATTTGTTAGATGAGTGAAAAATTGTGTAAAAAAATACTGAATTCTTGATGGATAATATCTATGTCATGCTTTACACTGGGTTGAAATCCTGGCTACAATGTCTGCTTAGCGTTGTTACAGCCAAGCGTAGAAAAACAAGTATTCTGAGAATATTGCATGGCAATACATAGTCCCCTACCGGTTAAGAATTCATTGTACTGGAACAAAATGCTAACTTGATCTATAACTTGTCATGGTGTAAACTATATCAACAAGCATGACGAAAAAAAAGTGTGGAAAACTGATTATTATCAAGTGAATTTTCTAAGTCCAAGGACCATAACTCTGCACAAAACATCAGACCGGAACAAAATTCGAACTTGATCTGTAACTTGTCATGATAACCCTATATACCAAATTTCAAATCAATATCTTCAAGCATGATAAAAAAAAGTGAGGAAAACTGATTTACCGGACTGACGGATGGACAGACAGAGAGACAGATTCATATTCATTTTCAACTAATCAGCAGCAAGCTAAGAATTTTCAGTCATATGGCAATGCACCATTCTTGGATTCAATAAATTCTTTGCAGTGAGTCAGGATTCAAGGTTTGGTTTACAAAATAATTAATATCATAGATTTTGATGACAATCAATTTCTTGAAAGGTGAAAGGTAAAACTTAATGCCCCCTCCGCTATGGCGGATGCATAAAAATACCATGGCTTGGTATAAGTGCTCTGAACATGCTGTAGTCTTTACCAACAAAATTTCATTCAAAATACTTATTCAAGCATTATGACTAGACCATGTACCTTGAATGCTTTGATTATTTGAAATCCTAACATATAAAGGGAGTTAAATTTCCCATGGTAAAAAGTGGGGAGGGGGTCAAAATACCATAGCTCATTAAAATTGTTAAAACATCTTTAAAAATGAGTATTTGCTGCTTCTCTACTTTGCATACAACATTCAGGAGTAAGATCAAAGACTAACGGCCTAAGTTGAATAAAAAATTTTGATTGAGGGTTTAGTGTTTAATGTCAAGTGGCAAATATTACATGCTATCAGGATAAGTAAATGGTAATGTGATCTGAATAAGAACACTGGTTCTCAAGGTAAAATCCATTCTGACCAGTCTACTCTTACTCTAAATGCCACATACTTGTATGCAGTCTCCATTTTGTTTAAACTTGTCTCCAATTACAGTACTTACATGCTGTTTCAATGACCAAATAACTTGTGTTTCATCAAACGGAGAGTATATACTGGATACGTAGGTTTTGTATTCTTTATCTTTATCCTGTGATGCTATTTTATAAACTTTTCCACGATCTGAAAAGACATATACATCTTATTAATATATTCAGGATAATAATATGGGACAAAAAAGCTAGAAGAGGAGGAGGAAAGTCATTAGGTACTTAAAATTCTTTGAAAGATTCACTGAAAACTAGTCATGATTTAATAAGGAGTTGTAAATACCGGTAGCATACCAATAAATTGTTTGGAAGAATAAATGGATGCAACAACCAGTATATGTAGAGGTGCTTCAGTAAGTCGTGGTCAAATGGAGTCTTTATCCAACATAAGAAAAATGTCAGTTTTAATTTATATTTGTTTTAGTTACCCTCTAGAAAGATGTTCACTGTTCAAATTTGTCTGACATTCTAGACAAAGTAAGTATCAAATAAACGATGATAACTATTTGGGGGAGTAGATGGACTTTCATTAAAAGGATAGTCACAATATTTAGTATGATATATCAAACTAACTGGATCCAGCAAAAAACACATAGCCATTTTTAACTCCAGGTGCAGTCTCCATCTCAATTTGTTGAAGTTCTTCACCAGGGAGGTAAAAAACTGGTTTTCCATACTTATGCTGTACTGTTTGGTGCATGAGTGGATGATCAACAATAAATCCTAGGACTGTGTCTGCTGTCTTTAAGGAATCATTGTAGCACTAAAATACAGAAAAGAAATGTTCAAACAAAATACATGAAACAAGAGGCTGTCAGAGTGACAGCAAACCGGATTTCCTGCAGAGGTCGAACCCTGAACAGTTGAGCAAGTATGGACACAAAATTTAAGCTTAAAACAGCTCTGAATTAGGATTGTGATTGAATATTTGACACAGCATAGGTTTGTTAGATTCAGCATTTCAAAGAACCCTATAAATTCAATTTTTGTTGAAATCAAACAAAGTTTAATTTTGGACCAACTTGAAAACTAGGCCCAAAAATCCATTATTTAAATACAGGTTTAGATTCAGCATTTGAAAGAACCCTATATATATTTAATTCATGTTGAAATGAAACACAGTTTAATTTCATCCATATACTTATTAATTTTCTGTTCAAAGGGAAATAACTCAAACTGAATAAATGATATACAAATAGTTTTCTAAAATTAGATATGATTTAACCACTAAAAAATAGTTCTGTAAAATTAGATATGATGTTATATCTATTTTCAAATTATAATCAATAAAATTAGATATGATTTAACCACTAAAACATTGTTAGAATCAGCATATCAAATTTAAATAACCCTATGAATTAAATTTTAAATGAAATTAAACAAAATTTTAATTTAGGACCCTTTGGACCTCAATGTGGTATTATCTAATTAATAATGAAAATAAATACAGGTTTAGATTCAGCATTTCAAAGAACCTTATATATATTCAATTTATGTAGAAATCAAACACAGTTTAATTTTGGACCCCGATTTGGACCAACTTGAAAACTGGGCCCAAATTAAGAAATCTAAATATATGTTATTTAATAGAATATAAGCTTAGTTTTTAAAGGAGTTCACTTCATCAAAAAAAAAAAATTATATATATAGCATTCAGAAAATTAGTTTATACAGAATAACAAACAAACCTACCACAAAATCTCATTTTTCATTAATACAATGTCTTTTAAAAATCTATAAAACTAATCAAACTTTATATATATAATTAACCATTTCTGTTCAAAGGGAAATAACCCAATCACATAATAAGTACCACTTTTGGCTACTGGAATGGGCTATAACTCAAAAACAAGAAAATTGAACTTGACCTTCATTTAGTCACAGGAAACAACATATCTTAATTTGAAAAAAATTCGTCAAAGCCTTTTCATGTTAATGAATGGACACTGTTTGGCAGAAGCCCGCCCAATCGCCCGCCGTACATCCCCAGATCAATAACCGATTTTTCCTTCGAAAATCCGGTTATAAAATGTACAGCTAAATTAAATTTCACTGACCACTCACAAAATGTCATTGTAAAATATATGTACATAAGGTGCAAAGTACTCTTGCTATGCCTAAAAAATAAATAACTATTTGACGGTGTCCTTAAATTTCAAAGTGTTGAAACACTTTAAATCCATATAATTATAGGAAATAATTTTTAATTATAAAATAATCATAATTATATGTCAATCTACTTTACCTGGCCAGGTCTTGGGATAGGAACACTGCTAGCCTTTGCCTCTGTCCAAAAAGACATATCGCTATCCTGTGTTTTAAAAGGACCATTCAATACTCTGTCTATCTCAGACTTTTCAAAAGCACAGATTGCTGAAGCAGGCAATCCATTGCTGTAAATAAGAAAAATTATGACATTATCAAAGAGTATGTTAGCTAACCTTGAACCACCGAGTTGCAGTTAAGTAAAAAAGTGAATAAGCAGCAATGTAAAACTATCTTATTCTTTTGGTTTTTTTTTTTGTTATTTGAAGAATTAAGTGTTAATGGCAGATATTTCATTGTTTCTGTTCAATTTATTCACAACTCTAAAGATTCCAGAAGATTTAGAGCTTGGCCTATCATATAGACACCTGTCTATACTTGAAGAATGTATGTTGCCCTGAGATGTCTTTTGGTTATATTTGTCACTGGGTTGCTGTCTTATTGATGTATACCCCACATCTTGATTTATTCATAAAAATATTTTGGGATGATAAACAATGAAATGGAATGTAAATCTGTGACATCATCACTAACATGTATGCCTCTTACACAGCAGGAAATGAGAATTTGTTGGCCATAATCACCCTAAACACCTTTGAAAGCATTTCACTGTGCAGTTTCTGAGGTGGCAGGTACCAGTTTTGGTGTACCAGAACATGTGTCCCATGCAGAAATTTTGTTATTGTTAAGTAATGAAATATATAATTGCATCATGTGGACTGAAAAAACAAATGAATATAAATTTTAGGCTATTGTGCTACATAAGTTAGTAGTTGCATACACAGGTTGGGGATTTCCTTCACATATGGGACCAGTCATAAGTAAAAATTGGGGTCTCCTCTCTTAATTTCATCCAATCAAAGTGGGGAAAAAATTCAGTTTTATGTAAACAAAATTTCTTGAGATTTTGATGGAAGGGATAGGTGCCTCTAATTCATTGAATATCATTTATCTTTTGAAATTTGCCTAAAATTCTTGCCTGACATGAGCAGATTTTTGAAGTGAGGAGTAGATTTGTATCAGAGCTTCACATTTTTTTGCCTTATTTGCAATGCATTTATAAATTTTAAAATCTCCATGGTGGACAGACACCCAAATTAACAGGTTTTTTATGGCAATAGCTTACACTAATCATATAGAATAGATGAGCTGATAACACAATATAAACTTGACTAAAATAACTTATCATACTTACGCATAAGTAGTAAAAAGACCATAGAATGTATTCTCATCAACTGAGACTACATCTTCTGTAAATATAAATATTAAAACATTTCTTAATTTCAGTATATAATGATATTCTTTAGAGATAACGTTTCATGCAACAGAAATCTACTGGTAATAGTAGAGTTCAAAGTTTTTGTTTTGCTTTGAATCTGTGTACCAAATACTGCAACCTGAGTGAAGGAACTTTTAAATACTGCAACTAGAAAGCATTTTGTCTAGTCTGGGCTTTAATAGCTTATAATATAAATTGCTTTGCCGAGTGCAGCTGGATACGACCGCAGAGGTCCAACCCTGAACTGTTGGGGCAAAAATGGACACAATATTCGTGCTTGATACAGGTCTGAATTTGGATTGTAATTACATATTTGACACATAAAAGGATTCTGACACAGAATAACTGTAGTCAAAGAACTTAGAATTGGTTATATGATTTGAATTTATATTCAATTTTTTGCTTTTGTGCAATACACTATGCTGTTGCGAATTGACCTCTCCCCCCCCCCCCCCCCCCCTTTTTAAAAAAAAAAAATTAAATTTGAAGGATTTTCTTTTTTGATTTCTGAAATCTTGAGGAGAAAAAATTGTCCCCCCCCCCAACCCCCCACCACCAATTTTTTTTTAACCTCCCACCCCCTTTTTCCAAAATAAATTCTATCCCTCAGTCATGGTCATAATTTCAATTCAAATTTCCAATGGAGTTTGCAATCATAATAACCCATTTAAATACATCATAGAAGTCTTAAAATAGAAAATGACATACATAATCATAGCTAAAATTAATTAACCTTAATCAGCATTTTTAAAATTATTAAAATAGTAACTTCTAAAAATGAATTGACAGCTAATCACCTCAAGACAATAAAAAAATTCTTTATACATAATTTAAAAGCAGTGTAAAGGAGGTAATTCAAAGTTGGTTTGAATTACCTCCCTTACACTGTAATTTTCCATTAACCAGGACACCCTTGTTTTTTCTCACTTTTTTGCCCCTAGTTCCTAAACGGTTTGAGCCATAACCCCCGAAAGCCAATCCTAACCATCCCTTTGTGGTATGGAAACTTGAGGTATAATTTCAGAGATCCATACACTGTTCCACAAGTTATTTTTTTGGCTTCTAATTCCTAAACTGTTGGGACCATAACCCCCAAAATCAATCCCAACCTTCCCTTTGTGATTATAAACCTTATCTTTAAATTTCATGAGTCCGGAAACGAAATGTCTTCGGACGACGACGACGATGTGATACCAATATACGACAAAAAAAAATTTTGCGGTCATACAACAATATGGGTTTTGGCTCATTGTTTAAGGCTGTACAGTGACATATAGTTCCTTACATCCACATCATATCTCTGGTGGTTAGTTGTCTCTCAATTCAAATGAAATCACATCTTCTTCTTTAAAGAAAAATAATGATTCAACCCCAAAAAAAATAACTGACTTGAAAAATTAAGGAATATTTTGCAAAAGTCTGACTTGATCGATCATGTTTTATAATGCTGTAAATCAGATATTTGGAATGTGTTATGACTTTGATGTAAGAACTTACGTATGACATCAAAATACAATGGGAAAGCTCCCGACAGGGAACAGTTCAGTCGAGCTTTCTGGTAACTTGTCCATTTATTTCTTAACAAGGAATCACCACCTACATCTTTCTGCAAAAAAAATTAAATAAAACACTAAACTTCTAAATACCTAACTTCCTTAAATATATACAATTACATAATAATGTAATACCATACACAAACAAGAGTGCACATGCTAAAATGTCTCGTTTGCTTTACTGACCATTGATTTTATTTTGAAAGTCTTTAAAAAGATAAAGGTTTTACTAAAAGTATTACATAAACTTAATATTTTTAATGATCTATGACAATGAGGTCAAGGTCAGATAAATCCTGCCAGACAGACATGTAAACCTTACAATTATTCCAAATATGGAATATAGCTGAACAATTGTTTATGGTAATTGAAAAACAGACCAAAACACAAAAACTTAACATTGACCAATGAACAATGAAAACGAGGTCAATGTCAGATGAAACCTGCCACACTGACATGTACCCTTACAATCATTCCATACACCATATATAACCACAGCTTATAGCATTTGAAAAATTGACCTAATCATGTAACTTTAACCTTGATCACTGATCCAAGAAATGAAGTCGAGGTCAGGTGACCCCTGTATGACAAACTTGTAGACGTTACAAGGAACCCATATACCAAATATAGTTATCCTATTACTTATAATAAACGAGAAATTCACATGACAAAAAAATTAAATTTTTTTTTCAAGCAGTCACTGAACTATGTAAATGGGGTCAAGGACAATGGACATATGACAAACGGAAACTTTGTAACACAAGGTATCTGCATACAAGGTATGAAGCATCCAGTCTTCTTCCTTCTGAAATATAAAGCTTTATACAATGCTGCTGTTGGATAGTAATCCCTGTCTCGACATACTGCCGCTCTTGTCGCAAAAATAATCTGAAATGTATTGCTTTAATGCAGCTATTTCGTTGGCTAAAATAGAAGTGAGATATATTTGGAGGAAGACATCTTTATCAGGATTTATAGCCAGTCAAGGTCATTTACCACCCCAGTTATAGACTCAATCAGGAAGTCTTTTGCTTAACTGTGAATTATGTCACATACAGGAGTGATACCAATTAGCCATGTGGTTATAGACTTCAAATTACTTATTATTTGAAACTTTGAATAAAAATAACTATTTTGCACTGAGGCAGACTTTCGTGTGAACAATAAAATCCAATTTCAAGTATAGTATACATTTTTTATTTGATCTCTTCAAAAATGTCAACCATGCCTTTTTTAACTATTGAAAACTAACATATGTTCATTAATAATGATTAAGGGTCTGGCTGTGTTTACAGAATAGAGCATAATGGGCAAAAAGTTCACAATAAAGGATATTGGTAGAGAAAAATAGGCTAAAAAATAGAGAATAGAGAATTATGGCAAAATAAAAAAAGAATAATGAAAAAGGGGTTAAGGAATGAAGAAATGATGGACCTCCATCCCGACCCTTGTGAATGAGTAATGTTACTATCAAGTTAATGTAACAAACCTTGCAGACTTTTCCTACACGTGAATACAATTTGGTTTCTATAAACTCTGTTTCTACAGCTATTTCTCTAAAGAAGAAGAAAACTCTTTCATCTACACTAAAAGAACCTGCAAACTGGGGATCTGGAAAAAATAGAAAATGTCAACAGGTTTATTATATTATATGACTTTATTCAATATACATCAATGTCTGGCTAAATCATGACTATCTTTTCACCATATTTATTTAAAACAAGAAACATCAAATATTACAATTGAAGAGATAACAAAAAAGGAATAAATAATAATAAGAGCAAGCAAACATTGTTTTTATGCATGTTCTCTTATGGTGGTTGATGATATTGATGTATTAAAGCTCTTGTCTTTCAGTAATTCATATACTCATGTAAACAACATAGAGGTCAGGTCTTCTCTTCGGTACTTGGTCATGAACAGTTTTTTTATATTTTTAAGGACTTAATTAAAATTTGGGAGTTAACAAGAATTCTTAAGAGTATTGCATGGCAATACATAGTCCCCTACCGGTTAAAAATTCATTGTACTGGAACAAAATGCCAACTTGATCTATAACTTGTCATGGTGTAAACTACATAACAAATATCAAGTCAATATCTTCAAGCATGACAAAAAAAAGTGTGAAAAACTGATTATTTGTGTGAATTTCTAAGTCAAAGGACCGTAACTCTGCACAAAATCATCAGACCGGAACAAAATTAAAACATTATCTGTATCAAGATAAAACTATATACCTATTAATAACCTATATCTTCAAGCATTACAAAAAAAAAAGTGTGGAAAACTGATTGAGTGAATTTCTAAGTCCAAGAACCATAACTCTGAACAAAATCATCAGACCGGAACAAAATTCCAACTTGATCTGTAACTTGTCATGATAAAACTATATATACCAATTATTAAATCAATACCTTCATGCATGACGAAAAAAGTGTGGAAAACTGATTTGCCGGACTGATGGATGGACAGACAGACAGACGGAGTGCAAACCTAAAGTCCCCTTTGACTTCGTTGGTAGGGGACTAAAAACTTGTGAGCAGAATAGAGCTAGTCTAATCAAACATATTCCAGTACTTGGGCATGAGAGCATTCAATGTCAGAGGTCAAAGTTCAAGATTACAACAAGACTTTTCGGTACTGAAGGTCTCAAGTTTTTATCAAAACATACTTCAATGCTAGGCCATTGGAAAACCTTTAACCTCATTCAAATTCAAGTCTGATTGGTAATGAGAATGTTGCTGAAAACTGACAAGGTTTCACCATCAGGCTATTCAGCAAAAAATGTGCTTAATATATAACAGATATTAAAAATTAATTGTGGAAGAAAATGAAAATATGCAGATTGTCATGTAAGAAATGGAAGAATTAAAAATAAGCAACTGACCACTGGTAAAGTTCTATAACCTACTTTTCATCCATTTATTACTGAAGACACCTTTCATGAACTCTGCTACTACTCCATCAGGTCGTTCTATAGGTCTGTAAATTGTAGATCTATCAAATGCTGTTGCTCCATAATACATTAACTCTTTATTATTTGGGTTGCCATTTTCTGCAACAATAAGATTTCATTTTACACAATTTTCATGTCAAATACAGAAGTATATTTCAATTTCATAATTAAAGAACAGAGTTCCATTTGTCCCCCACATTGTATATATTTAATCTGTCACTGGACACTACCTAAATAAAGGGGGAATGTGTCCATGGGACATAGATGATGCCCCCGCTTGCATATAACGTTATAAAGGGAAATAACTCGAAGAACTGTAAAAGTCACACTACCAAAATTTGTACTTGATCTGAGTTTTGTGGTAATAAGCTTTGTTTATAAGTTTCTTAACATTTAGTTGAGGCAAACTTAAGTTAGAGAACGGAAACCAATTTTGGGATGTACGTACGTACTTACAGATGGACAAGGGTAAAACATAATGCCCCCTAAGCTATGGCGGGGGCATAAAATTTTTTTTCTAGTTCTTCAAACACTTTTTATAAATATCTTAGAGAAATACACGATTGAATGCATTTTCCATACAATTAATATTTCCAAGTGGCAAAACTAACAAAAATCATGATCAGCACTGATTTTAGAACTTGTCCAAGACATTGCTGATATAAACCTTTGATATAAATTTCATGACAATCTGGCAATAATTGAACACATGAGAGAAATTGCAAAGTAATTTTCCATATTATTAATATATCCAAGGGGCTTTACTCTTTTAAAAATAACTGATCAACACTGATTTTCGAACTGATATGTACTGATAGTAATTATCAATCACAAGTTGTCCCTATCAAACTTACTTAAGCAGATAACTTAACATTGAAAAATGCTTATCAGTTCAAAGTCACTGGACTATGAATTAGGGGGCAGGGCCTCAAAAAATAGTGGTCAAACTGATATGTACTGATAATAATGCAACTTTTTACGAAATATCATTGATCTAGCATAAGTTGTTTTCCATTTGTGTGGTGTGTTTGAGTTTTGATTTTGCCATTTGATAAGGGACTTTTCCATTTTGAATTTTCCTTGGAGTTCTGTAATTTTGTTATTTTACTTTTTGCTATCGACCTAACTTAAGCAGAAAACTTAAAATTGAAAATTGCTTTCAAAGTCACTGGACCACGACCTAGGAGGCAGGGCCTCAAAATAGTGGTAAAAATATCAATGATCAATCACAAGTAGTTCCTATCAAACTAACTTAAGCAGAAAAAATAATAATTATTGACGAAACCTCACTGTTGTCTCCACCTGAAAAGCAACACTTATGTCTCACATCTGTGACTTTCATCCCAAGAGAGTCAAAATGGAACAGTGTGATAAAATTGCTTGCAAGATTAGTGAATAAAACAGATTTACTCTATCCTCTGTACTTACTGACATATATAGCTGTAAGGTTACTAAATGGGTCATCAGAACATGCAGCACCACCCAAATTTGTGGCCTTGAACTCGTTTCCATTCGATGTATAGTTAATTTTATATCCTGCGGGACTGAGAGCATTAGTCCCACACAAGTAATATTCTGGACTGTCTGGACTGTCCTTAGTGTTTGTGATAAAACGAATATGATTTTGGCAATTTGGTGTCTGAAAAGAAAATGTATACGAAATAAGTTTCAGCAGAAAAAAAACAGCTGCAATTATTTTCAATAAAGATGCAGGTAATGATGGAAGCTGTATATTTAGGACACAGGTGTTTAACATACATTTTAATCAGTTATTTTTTAAAGCAATCACATGAATAACAATTCATTAATGATCTATGTTGTCCATAAATTTCTTGTTTTCAAAATTATGTAATTGTTGGTAAAATAACTCAGGCAAACTGGTCGGGGCCTTTCATAGCCGACCATACGGTATGGGTTTTTCTCATTATTGAAGGCAGTACAGTTGCCTATAATTACTTACATCCACTTCATTTGAACTCTGGTGGATAGTTGTCTCATTGACAATCATACCACATCTCCTTATTTTTATACTGATCTTATATGGTCTTGGTGGATTTGTTTAGTATGAAATTAAGGAAATGAGTTATGACTGCTATTTTAGACAACTATCCATAAAGGTCAAAGGATAAAGATGTAAAAAAAATACAGTTGATAATTTTTCCTTCAACAAGTCACTGTACAGACTTTTTGATACTTTTGTTCCTATTTTTCAAATACAATGAATAACAATTTGTAATTTCTATTCTTTTCAAATAAATATGTATATTCTATTGTTTTCATGTACTATGTAACTTCTATTGCTTTCATGTACATATGTAACTTCTATTGTTTTCATATACATATGTAACTTCTATCGTTTTTAAATAAATATGTAACTTCTATTGTTTTCATGTACATATGTAACTTCTATTGTTTTCATGTACATGTGTAACTTCTATTGTTTTCATGTACATATGTAACTTCTATTGCTTTCATGTACATATGTAACTTCTATTGTTTTCATGTACATATGTAACTTCTATTGTTTTCATGTACATATGTAACTTCTATTGTTTTCATGTACATGTGTAACTTCTATTGCTTTCATGTACATATGCTATTTCTATTGTTTTCAAATAAATATGTAACTTCTATTGTTTTCATGTACATATGTAACTTCTATTGTTTTCATGTACATATGTAACTTCTATTGTTTCATATACATATGTAACTTCTATTGTTTTCATGTACATATGTAATTTCTATTGTTTTCATGTACATATGTAACTTCTATTGATGAATAAAGCATTTGTTATGATGAAGGACAGCAATAAATAATATTCTTCCTTTGATATATGGTCAATTCCTATTATTTCATGAGATTGCTGTCATATACATCAAAACTGTATTCCTTTTTCATAGTAAGAGATTTTGTTTAAGTTTTCTTCTCAATGTAAAATTTCTGTCGATGATTGTCTTATATTTGTTATTCTAGTTAATTCTCCCACTTATATAACATTAAGATGTAAAATTGAGAATGGAAATGGGGAATATGTCAAGGAGACAACAACCCGACCAAAGAGCAGACAACAGCTGAAAGCCGTATATTTTTACATGTTCTTTTATTGAAAAAGACACTGTATTTATCCATTGTCTAGTCGTCACCCTATTATATATAGTAAAATATTTTGACATGTTTGACAGTGGAATGCCATAGTTTGAATATTAAGCAAGTCAGAAATGCATATACACCATTTGAAAGGGTTAAGTGAACTTTGTCTTATTGTAACTGCTAGAACTAATATTTCTGACAGTTGGAGATCCAAAGGTCCAGTAAATGGATGGTAACACATCACATCATTTAATGGTAATACTATTGATGTTTTAAGTTTCCCTCAATCTTACCTCTGGTTTTTGATGTTTTAAGTTTCCCCAAATCTTACCTCTGGTTTTTGATGTTTTAAGTTTCCCCCAATCTTACCTCTGGTTTTTGATATTTTAAGTTTCCCCAAATGTTACCTCTGGTTTTTGATGTTTTAAGTTTCCCCCGATCTTACCTCTGGTTTTAGATGTTTTAAGTTTCCCCCAATCTTACCTCTGGTTTTTGATGTTTTAAGTTTCCGCCAATCTTACCTCTGGTTTTTGATAAGTACAGTAGTTCAGCTTATCCTGATCAGGCTTCAGATCTATAACTTGCTGTAAAAACAAAATCAGATGGTCAGATGGAATACAATATGATTGCATTTATTTTCTTCCAGATATTCTATATATCAAATTTCATTCTTTTATTTGTTTGAATCAATTCTGTAATTACTCTGTCTGATTTACAGTTTTGTACAGACAGTTTACCAATTATTTTTTCTTTGTTTTTCAAGTTATATACTCAACAAAATAAATGACTTTTTGGACCATGTGATTTTGATTGTTTTTTTGCAAGTCTGTTATTTTTTCGGAGGAGGGTTGTGTTGGGTGTAGTAGATGTGGTCTGCTGTGCTGTCCAGTATTTCATTGGAGGGGAGTGTTGAGTGTAGTAGATGTGGTCTGTTGTGCTGTCCAGTATTTTTTGGAGGGGGAGTGTTGAGTGTAGAAGATGTCGTCTGTTGTGCTGTCGAGTATTTTTTTGGAGGGGAAGTGTTGGGTGTAGTAGATGTGGTCAGCTGTGCTGTCCAGTATTTCATTGGAGGGGAGTGTTGAGTGTAGTAGATGTGGTCTGTTGTGCTGTCCAGTATTTTTTGGAGGGGGAGTGTTGAGTGTAGAAGATGTAGTCTGTTCTGCTGTCCAGTATTTTTTGGAAGGGGAGTGTTGAGTGTAGTAGATGTGGTCTGTTGTGCTGTCCAGTATTTTTTGGAGGGGGAGTGTTGAGTGTAGTAGATGTGGTCTGTTGTGCTGTCTATTATTTTTTTGGAGGGGGAGTGTTGAGTGTAGAAGATGTAGTCTGTTGTGCTGTCTAGTATTTTATTGGAGGGGGAGTGTTGAGTGTAGTAGATGTCGTCTGTTGTCCTGTCCAATATTTTTTTTGGAGGGGGGTGTTGAGTGTAGTAAGATAAGATAAGATATTTTATTGGTTTAAAATCCAAAATTATAGGATTGTTACCAAGACATATACATAAACATATATCTGACCACATTTATAAACATTGTATTTTTTTGGAGGGGGAGTGTTGAGTGTAGGAGATGTGGTCTGTTGTGCTGTTCAGTATTTTTTTGGAGGGGGAGTGCTGAGTATAGTAGATGTGGTCTGTTGTGCTGTTCAGTATTTTATTGGAGGGGAAGTGCTGAGTGTAGTAGAAGTGGTCTGTTGTGCTGTCCAGTATTTTTCGATGATTCATGTGATCCATGTTATATATCAGTAATGTTAAATTGAGAAGAATACTAATTGTCAAACTTTATGGATAACTTAAATATTGTTTTCTATTGAATTCAACATATTTACTGCTGGTGTACTTTTCCATACAAAACTAGTATCTATACATTGTGTTACTAACCTTAGATGATGAAATGTTAGTCAAATTAAGAATGGTTACTTTATTCCTGAAAAAAAAAGAACAAACATGTTAAATTTAAAAGAGAAATAAGGAATACAATGTTCATGGACATACCTTTTTCAGATTTTTCTGTTTTTTTGGTTCATGGTCAAATATATCTGTGCATTATTACAAGCAATTTTTTTAAGTGAGCCTGAACTATTTTTTTTTTACAAAATATCATCATATAACTTATTATTTACCGGTACTATAGTTCATGGTAAGATTTATTTGGAAAGAACTGCTGAACCTCATTTTCACTTATCAACTGAATAGAGATGTATAAATTTTTTCTTTTTTTTTCTTTCTTAACTTTCCCTAAAAGAAACCAGCCATGAAAGACTTTCTGAAAAAAAGATTGACTAATATACAAATGAAAAGTTCTAATTAAGTGTCATTAAACTTAAAACTCCCATAGAAGTTGCTATTTTAAAACTGCTTTATCTGTTTTAATGTTTCCCATTTTAACTTTAATCACTTATCTTAAATTTTGATAGCATTATTTGTATGCCACATTTTATGAAATTGCAATAAATAATTTCGGATGTTTGTCCACTGATCAACAATCACAATATTATTTGCTAAACTTTCTGAACTTACAGTAGTTGTGTCTATCTATTTATTGCTTATAATAGTGCAGTATTTTAAAGACGAAGCCATACTTACATAGAACCAACCAATAAAAGTTTGGCTGTAGGATCTACTAATAAGAAGCGATAATAAGAAGCTTGTGATGTATCTGGAGAGTAGGTGTTTATATTCAGTTCTGAAAAAGAAAAAAGAAACATTTTAGAAATTCAAATTCACATGGAAATTTGTTTTGTAATGAGAAACATCCCTTGTTTCAAATACTTAAAATGTTGGTATAACCTATAGTTGCCTCACAATTCTTAGTTTGTGTAGCCTATAGGTTGCACTTTGTAAATACAGCTGTTTCTCAAACCACGCCTCTTTTGGGGAGATATAGAATATTCATAGATAATTAATTTTGTTTATATACTGGTTCCCAGTTATGACCTCTAGGTTTCATCTCATAGAGACATAACTTGGGAATGTTACCAGTAAATATACATATGCATATTGTCTATATAGAAATCTGAGGTAATCCCACAGTCAAGGTAGGGATAGTTAAGAAATTTAGTGTTAGTTTAAACTCTTAGAAGTTCGGGGCATATAAACGTTGAAAATATGCCGCACAGCCCTATATTTTGACCTTTGAAAAAAATTGTAGTGCATATGAACTTTCCATTCTAGGATATGATTTTTTTCAAAACTTCATAGTAAAAGTGGTACAGTTTTAGCCGTAAAAGGAGTTCCTATGGGAAATTGCATTGTCAATATTTACAGAAATGCAACCTATAGATATTCATTTTTTTGCCATCTACTTGGGAAGGACGTTTTTGGTGGGAATTCAGTATTTACACTTGTCAGGACACAGGAATTAATGATTAATTTCTTGGGATCTGGGAAAGAACCCTTTATTTTTTTTTAATTCAGGACGACACCCCTTTCACCCACCCCTCACTTAAGTATTCAAGTCCAACTATCTCTCTAAAAGGACAATTCAACAGAAATCCAATTTTCTGGCAGAGTTTCAAAACAAGTTCAAGTGATACTTAAATAGAACCAAGTGAAACATTACATTTTATTCATAATTCAAGATGTTCTAGAAGGAAATGATTGAAATGGTTAACTAATTAAATGTAGATATGTATACAAGTGGTGATATCTCCTAAACAGTACAGGGGAACTACATTACAACTACAAAACAACAACATTGCTATGATAGAAGTTTTAGGCTGTCACAAATATTGTTTCATTATTGAACATTTTGAGTGGGTCGATCAACTCAAAAGAGGGGTTTTGCACAAAAAAAAACAAACAAGCTAATGTGTGAGACTACAACTAACTAATATATACCCCTGCTGTTCCTTTTCAGTAACAGAAAATATACATATATCAAATATATGCTCATGACTTTGTCTACCAATATAAAACTTGGTACCAAATATCAATTAGCTATGATTTGTAGTTGCTGAGAAAATACAACTCAAATTATTTAACTATACATCAATGTACAGAACATACATATATGTGACAAACAGGAAGTAAGTAAGGGACACACCTGAAAACTTGTAAGAAGTTATAGAATATGATGCTTGGTACCAAGGTGCTCTCATTTGTTTTTTGTCAATCATTTCAAAATAAAGGTGATTTTCTAACAATAAATTATCATATCAGTTAAATAAAAAATCAGTGCTGCAAAAATTGCAAAAGATGCTAACAAATTAGTTTTTATACCAAATTTTTCAATTATGAACAAATGAAACAAGTGAAACTGCGAGCTACTGCTCACTGATGATACCCCTGCCGCAAGTTGATAATTTTAATAGTGTAAAAATATGTAAGTGTTCGGTAAACAGGAAGTTGTTGAGTGATGAATCTGAAAAAGCATCACACTGTATAGCTGACTTATATAAACCCTGAAACCAAATTTCAGAAATCCTTATGATGTAGTTTCTGTGAAAGATGGGACGAAAAATATTCATGGGACTGACTGAAGGATGGACAGACGAACGGATGGAAGAACGGACGGACAGACAGAGGTAAAACAGTATACCCCCACTTTTTTAAAGCGGTGGTATAATAATTATTTCCTGAACTGTAATTTTGAAATAACATAACTCAAGTTTGTTACACTGGGTGTTGCAAGTAATCAATTATTAAACACTTAAATAACTTCATTGTTAGGGCAAAATAAACATATATATATGTCAATGACACTGAACTATTTAGGGTGGATCTCAAACTTTGGTGACAGGAATTTTAATATTTATTCCCTCTCAAAATATTTTCTTAGAATGTGTTTGGAAAATTCCTGTCAACAAATATGTATGGATTTTCAATCAACAGAGTTCTCCTTGGTTTCAATGTCAACAAATTGACAAAAAAAACTGAATCACATACCAGAACAGACAGAAATAACAGCCTCAGAAAAACTTGCAACTTTTAGATAAAGATTTATCCCACATTTTCCATCAAGCGTAATATTTACTGTAAACTATGGTTCACAGACATATTCGAAACAAATAGGTTTTCAAAGGAATCAATGGTCACAACCCATGAATAAATAACCTTAAGTACACTGTAAGTTGCACGTATCTAGGGTGTAACAATCTCAGGAAATAGTATTTCATAATAAAACTGTGTATCTAATGGGAAAATCTTTACTACCCTGTTGTCGAAAACACAGGACATTTTGTTTTAAATTGCTAATTACATAGAAAAAATTGTAAGGTTATACACAGGAAGATGGATTAATTTTTTTTAATAAATCAAGATATGTCAATTTTATTGTTATGATGATAATACCAAGTGGCGAATGTTCAGATGCATAAATAAATCTGAATTTAAAATGGACCTTTCTGAACAAACATCTAATCTTCAATGATTTGACTGGTTGGCAAGAAATTGGAAGAAATGAATAAATAAAGACAAATTAGCAAATACAATTATCTTTTAATTTTTAAATGCTTGGCAGAAATTACCCATTGAAAATTAAGGATTGAAGTGGAAATCTTGACCTTTGAGCTGATAATGGGTCCATCATTAACATCAATGGACATTTAGACAGTATAAGCATTGATTTGACAGGGAAGTCCTTTCTAAAATTAATTTAAAAGACATCAGAACAAATGACTTTTTAAGTTATGAAACTTAAGCGAACATGCCTCTTGGCATACCTACATTCCGATAGCCTAGGTTTCTCTCAAATTTGGATACAATTTCCTTTATAACTGATTGGACAGAGGTTAAACAAACATTGAATAGTATACAATAACCAAATATGCTAATATAGTCTGTATTTGGACTACCTATCATAATGAGATACTGTCAATAAGTTCCCAGATAAGAAATCAAATTTATTTTACAATTATCATGTTACTGTAAGTCTGTCCAATCTTGTATTATGATAAGGTGGTCATATTTACAAGTATTTAGCAAATAATCAGCAAGGTATACTTCCAACAACAAAAACAGTATTTTAGGTTATTAAATGTTATCAACGGTGTAATAAACAAGCTGATAAATACCCTAAATCAATATTGGTCTGGTTTCACAACACATTCTTTTATCAAATTAGACATTTATTGTTAATCTGCATTTATTTCAGCATTCTACTTATTGTTCTACACATTACAGGTTTCTAAGCCTTTTCATTAGGATGTTTTCATGCCTCAAACGTAGATGGCCTTCTCTTTATACTCAAAATTCATCGATTTTTTGTTGAAATTTTCAAGCAATGACACGTAAAGATTGTATAAACAATCAACTAGGATTGAAATGTCTGTATAATGCAGACAGATAAGACTGTATACATGCTAATGAAGTAAATCTATTTAGATACGAGATACTTTTAAGGAATTAAAAAAATCATCAATACTAACATCTGATGAGTTAAGCCTCTTTCAACTGATTTTTATAGTTCCTTCTTCTGTTGTACTGTTACACCACTGTCTCAGGTTAGGGGGAGGGTTGGGATCCCGCTAACTTTTAACCGCGCCACATTCTGTATGTATGTGCCTGTCCCAAGTCAGGAGCATGTAATTCAGTGGTTGTCGTTTGTTTATGTGTTACATATTTGTTTTTCATTCATTTTTTTTACATAAATTAGGCAGTTAGTTTTCTCGTTTGAATTGTTTTACATTGTCATTTCGGGGCCTTTTATAGCTGACTGTGCTGTATGGGCTTTGCTCATTTTTGAAGGCCGTATAGTGACCTATAGTTGTTAATTTCTGTGTCATTTGGTCTCTTGTGGAGAGTTGTCTCATTGGCAATCATACCACATCTTCTTTTTTATAACCTTTAACCTCAATTTTACAAGTACATCCTTAGCTTTCAAATTTTGGGTTGAAGCTTTTCTGATGAAAAGGAAACCTGAAAACTCTTCAGGCACAAAAAAGAAATAAAGTGACTTTTTCATTTTGTAAAATTTGAACTGAAAATATTAATTTTATTTGGGTAATGTCATAAATTGGTGGCAACCATGACAATGTGATAATATGAATCCTGATGTTCACTAGACCATCAACAGAGACAGATTTTTAAAGTGCTAGTTACCAAGGTAACCCAGAAAGACATGTTACCCTACACAGACACTTTATTCTGACTCTTAGCTGACCAGTCTTTGCCTTTACAGTTTAATGCTGGTGTTTAGCGAGAAGCAGTATATCCAATTTTAAAGTCTTTGGTTTAAATTGGGCAAAGACCAAAACCAATGACCTCCCGCACTCTAGCATGCATGATACCACAAGACCACCAAGGAGGTTTTATTTTTTATACAATGCACAACCACTATGCATGCCAAATTTAAAAGAGATTTTCAAAGGACAAAATTTAACAAAGCATGTAAGACATTTTTTATTTGTACAATTGAATTTGTTCGAATTTTTTTCCATTGCTTAATGTTTTATATATCAAAATACCAATGTTAAAATATACATGGTTCATTTCCATTGAATGAAAAAATCCTACTCAGACAATAAAATAACTTTGAATTATTGTCAGATCAACCTGGTTTTCAGTTTACAAATGAAATGAAGCTTTAAGATCACCAGAAGTCAGAAAGATATACAAAAGTTAAGATCGTTACAGAAATGTGTTGTATCTCTGTGTTACATCTAAGAGCAGATGGCTCTTGTTTCTTTACATCAAACCAAAAAATAAAATACATGTAGTATGACTGGTCTGATAAACATCAGTTTG